CAAAAAGCCTGTGGCAAAAATTTTCTGGCATTGCAGGAAAAAACTGCCAACAAGAGAAAGCACAAAACATTGGACTTTTGTTTAAATTATCAAAATCAAACCAAAGAAATCCTAAACCAGATAACCTAAGAAAGACAACAAATAAAGCAGATTTTCAGATAATTTCACATCACAACAAATTAAATATGAAGCACTTATTTTCCATTCTGCTGATATGAATTAATTTTATGTAATTTGTTAAATGCTGGTATCAACATTTCACATTCCAGGACCAAGATTTCTTATAATTAATTCCATGGATGTATTCCTCTGTTATCTCCTAAGGAAAATCCATCCAAATTAGGGAACTTGTCCTTAGTACACAAAATTGCAAGGTAAGGCAGCATAGCCCAAAACCTTAATTGCCTTTTGAACTGTAGCCGAATCCTGCTCCCTTTCTGGTGCACTGTACTGAACTTAAATGTTCTTAAAATGCTTCAATCATTGGTAAACACATTTCTAGCTTTACATGTAGCAATAAATCAGTTTTCAGTGTGAAGCATCACTTACCTAAGGCAGTAATATGCATTTTATTATCTGTAAGTTTTTTGGAACACTTGCAAACTAACGTTTATCACAAAAATACTGTGAAAATAAAGTAAGAGACTCCTGGTTGAGGGACACAACCCAAGAACTTCACCCATTAGAGTAAAAGCAGCTGTAATTTCATGTAAGTATAGTAATTTTGCATAAGTGAAATTACAAACTTAGAATCATAGAATCACAAAATGGTTTGGATTGAAAGGACCTTAAGATCATCTAGTTCCAATCCCCTGCCACGGGCAGGACACCTCACATTAGACCATGTCACCCAAGGCTCTGTCCAACCTGGCCTTGAACACCACCAGGGATGGAGCATTTACCACTTCTTTGGACAACCTGTTCTGGTGCCTCATCATCCTCACTGTAAAAAACTTCTTTAATCTAAACTTCTGTTTATGTCTGGAGACTAGAATACCAGTTAATGCAATATATAAAATGGCAGTCAGGCTTTTTGACAAAGCCCAGTGTCTGAATCTAGGATTTTTAGTATCTATCTTAATACTTGCACCAATTAACTCCAAAATAATTATATATTCTAAACACAACTTTGAAAATTCCAACTCCAGTTAGGTACACACTTCTCACAAAACCATTGAAGATCAAAGCCCAGATTTCATTACCTTCGATAGCAAGCTTCACAGTAAGCCATGTTTGTGCTTTCTCTTGTTACAAAATAAGCCATTACAAAATTTCATCTGTACTACTACTGATTACCAATCATACTGACAGAATTGCACAGCTCCTGACCACATCTAGTTTGTTTACTAAATGGAACTAATACGCAAGACATATTTACCTGTTTTTCTTTATTCACTTTGGATGCAAAAAATCTGGTTGCATTTGTCCTTAAAAGCAAAGTTTAGAGCCTGGTTTGGGAAATTCTGTGTAACATTTGGCAAATTGCCATGCCAAACACAGAAAAATCCTATAGAAAAAGAAACAGATCTTTAAAATCACATTTCCAAAGTTTATACTACACTGACTATATTATACAATATTCCTTCTATTGTTTCTACTTCAGTATGAGCTGTAACAAAGGTCAAAAGTATTCCTTTTCAGGTCCTTTATTTTTCAGGCATTTGGTACTTGAAATCTGGGTTAATTCTGACACTTACTAAAAGGTATATGCATTATGTGTTAGCATGACAAAATCTAAAACTGCAAGTGAAACATCAGTAATGCTGAGAAATATGTAAGATTTTCAAGTTTCTGACTTCATACATTTTTAAGACTAGGGAGATACCTATGGCAAGTGCAAAACAGAATAGTATTTCAGAGAACTGTGTAGTTTTCCTGCAGTAGTCTATTTCTTTATTGCTTCCATAGGGGGTGCTCACACTCCATACTAAAAAAAACCCAAACAAATAACGAACGGTTTATACGGGTATTAAACTTGGTAGTGCTTCTGTAATGATGTTCTTAAAAATTAAAGAAAGGATCCCTTTGGACTCAAGGATAAGAAGCTAAATGGAGCTGAGGAGGTAGTGCAGGAGCAAATCTGATGTGGATTATGAGAAAATATGGCAATGTTAGACTTTGCTAAGCAGCAAGTCTTAATGCTACCATTTTAACTCCTTTAGTAGCTTCTGTGTATCTATTCCTTTTAACATTAATTCTAGACACTGATTCACAGTGTCTAGAATCTTGCTGAAAATTACAAAGCTACAAGATTTGTATTGTATCCAAGATGCCTGGTAAAAGCCTGTGTTCTGTGGGAAATGAAATTCTGTCATCCTTTGGAGCTTTTTTTAAAACATACTCTTGAAAAAATCTGCAAAATACAGTCTCTGCTCAGTTGACTAACAAAGTAACCACTAAAAACGTCCTTCAGTGTAGTATCAACAGGATTAATGCAGTTTTGCAATTCTTTGTTTCTTAACTACACTGCTTTGAGTATTAAGTTTTACTGTATTCAGATGCCCTTAATACTGTTTAAGGTACAGTTTCTTGTGAAGGAGCAAGCCCATCTGAATAGCTCATGGGTTCCGAAGGAGTCCCAGCTTCCTCTGTTCTTTTCTTCACACATAGCTGTGTATGCACATTGTTTTGCATTGACTCAGTTGTGTGTTTGACCCAGCTGAATTCAACCCAGTATGCTAGCAGCAGACTGGGCGGTCTGACTAAACACAAGGATCTAGATAAAAGTTAGCTATCTTCTTTTTAAAACACTTAAATAACCTCTTTTTTACCACTGAAATCATATAACCCAGCATTTAAAAAATTGAAACAAGACAAATCTGAGCAAAACAACCCTTTTCCATACAGAAACACTTCTGCACACAAACACACTTTCAAGTTCTGTAAAAGCTGTTAAACTGGGTAAGAGCAGTGCAGCAGAGACTGCTCACTTTTCTGTGTTCTTTCTTCCATCTCCTATGGCATCTAATATTAGACTTTTAAAAGGTGCTGTTCAGGTGTCATCCATACTAATACATATTTTTATTTTTCAAACAGAATAAATCTCACATCACTTGATTTACAGATGAACAAATGTAAGGCACTATTGACATAACTCAGTTCTGTAGATTTCAAGTTGAAATTCTGCTTTTCATTTCAAGTTGAAATTCTGCTTTTCATTTACAGATGAGGAACAAATCTAAGGCACTATTGACATAACTGAGTTTTGTAGATTTCAAGTTGAAATTCTGCTTTTCATTTTCAAGGAATCATCAATGTTGGAGAAAGCTAATTTAATAAAATTTTCAATCGTAGAATCATAGACTAGTTTAGGTTGGAAAGGACCTTAAGATCAAGTTCCAACACCCCTGCCATGGCCAGGGACCCCTCACACTAAACTATGCCACCCAAGGCTCTGTCCAACCTGGCCTTGAACACCACCAGAGGTGGAGCATTCACAACTTCCTTGGGCAAATATGATGGCCAGTGGTTTAGCAACTTCATTTGCCAGCTCCTTCAGGACCCACAGATGGATTTCATCAAGTCCCATGGACTTGTGCACGTTCAGGTTCTTAAGATAGTCTCGAACCAGATCCTCTCCTACAGTGGGCTCAAGGTCTTCATTCTCACAGTCCCTGTGTCTGCCTTCCAAGACTTGGGTGGTGTGGTCGGAGCATTTGCCAGTGAAGACTAAAGCAAAGGAGTCACTAAGAAACTTAGCCTTCTCCAAATCCACGGTAGCCAGTTCTCTTGTTAGCTTCTGGACAGGGCCCATGCTGTCCCTAGTTTGTCTTTTATTTGCAATGTACCTATAGAATCCCTTCCTGTTATCTTTCACATCCCTAGCCAAGTTTAATGGTAACTGGGCCTTAGGTTTCCTAACCTGGTCCCTACCTTTCCCAGACAACATCCCCGTATTCTTCCCAATCCGTCTGTTCTGGCTTCCACCTTCTATAAGCCTCTTTTTTCCAAGTTTCCTCAGCAGCTCCTTATCCATCCAAGGAGGTCTCCTGGCCCTCCTGCTGCACTTCCTTCTAGTTGGGATGCAACACTCCTGAGCTTGTAGCAGGTGATCCTTGAGTATCAGCCAACAGTCTTGGGCTCTCTAGGGCTATATCCCATGGAACCTTACTAAGCAGGTTCCTGAAGAAGATAAAGTCTGCTCTCTTGCAGTCCAGGCCAGTGAGCTTGCTGCACACTCTTCTCACTGTCCTGAGGATCTCGAACTCTACCATCTCATGATCGCTACAACCAAGGCTGCCCTGGAGCGTCACATTTCCAACCAGCCCCTCCCTGCTGGTGAGCACAATGTCAAGCATGGCACCTCTCCTTATTGTCTCCTTTATTACTTGCAGAAGGAAGTTGTCTTCCACACAGTATCATATGCTTTAACTTCAGGCCTAAGACTTCTACTGCTGCTTGGATTTAAAGCAACTGTGGGTGGTTCAAGGCAAGCTGTGAATCAGTCTGGGGGAGTAGGCTGTTATAAGCATTGGATTGACTATTGCAGAAGTACTCTAAACAGTGTAATTTCCTAGGGAAAACAAAATCTACAGATTTGATCATGAGAGCCAATGGGACTGCCTTTACTTCTCTAAATACTTATTTTCTGATCCCATTGTTTAAAAAGCAATTTTAGTCATACATTTTATGAAAAACGCTCAGAAAAAGTAAGTAAAAGCACCAGAAAGGAACCTGATAAAATGCTGTGCAGATGACCAGATCTGATTGTTCTGGCTGGGGGCAAAAAAACACCCCAAAATCTCTCATTCTAAGCTAAACTTAGGTTAAAAAAAAAAAAAAAAGCTTTAAGAGCAGCTTGTCTGTAGATTACAAACACTTTAAGAATTTGTAGGAAAGCTGAATTTTGTAGAAGACTTCTGATTTTGCAAACATCTTGCCTTACACAAATGCAACCTCACATTTTTTGTAAATCCAGCTGTAAACTGTGAAAGATCTAGCTAAACAAATAGTGTTTAAATAAAAGAGAAAATGTGTTAAGTAAAAAACTAGAATAGTGCTTTACTGGTCTTTAACAAATACTTAATTTTTATTACAAAATTCTGAATATAAAATAAGCCAACTCCATGCTTAAAACCCTCATCCTCCCTGCCCCCCCATTTTCTTTTATAACTTCAAAATTATGTTTTAACAGATATAAGCATTATTTATATCACAATTTAAAACTTGTGAAGTCAAGTAAAACATCAAGCACACTATAGTCCTTGAGTGTGCAGGAGGCCATACTGTCAAAACCAGTAAGCCATTAGCTCTGGGCAGCCAACTGCCATGAATTGTCTAAAAGATTTCTTTCTGTTTTGATTACCACAGTGTTACTGAAAACATTTGCTATTTTTCATGCCCTTAGGGGAACAACGTTTTAATTAACTGGAATACTATTTTTTCCTCCATCACCAATTGTCAGATATTCAGAGAGCACTTTCGGGGTATCAGCTTATTATTTTACATTTCATATTATAGACTGAACAGCACTGAATGTACAAATTATGCAATGTTTTCATATAATAAAGTTATGATCAGGATAAATAATTCACCAGTATGTAAAAATAAGAACTCTGGTTCTCTGAATTCTTTTTAAGTATTCAGTTGATTAGATCATCAGAATCACCACTGAAGTTTTACCTGTGTCCTACCACAAGGTAGATTTATTTTTTTGTCAAGCATTTCAAGGATGTGGTGGGCACCACAACTGAGTTAGTTTTTCTTTATATTGAAGTACTTTCAAGAGATGACAACACCATGAGGTGGCCTCAGTGTTCAGGAAGCTCATCTATGTCACTAAACCAAAGGACAGTTTAAAGGCCAGTTCAACAGCAGCTTCTGTGACTGAGTCGTGGAAACAGACATAACACTCCTGAGGTTTGGGATGCAGAATGCGTCTCCTGGGGAAAAACAGAAAGTATTAAAATTACTGTATGTGTCAGCTTTTTCTCCTTAACTGTTTGATATATTCTGGTTCTACTCTGAGGTGTCAGATGTTAAAAACAACTACTGTGTAACACAGGAAATACCTGTGCCTCTCCTTCATCACCTTACTTCTTTCAATACATGAGATTTCTAAATTAAAGTTATTCTCTGCTCAGGTTTCTCATGACTGCATGTGTATGGAATAAACTTCCGGTTTTCAGGACCTATTTGTATGGTAACTAGTTGGTGTGCTTACAGTAATCCACATTTCCAGGTTACAACCTGCAATAAGGGTATCTGGGAGCAAGCCCCAGTATTCACATATTTACTCATTTTTAGACTTAATACATCTGGGTAGATACATTCCCACAGGTTAATCTAATAAGCTCTTTCAGGGGAAGAGGTAAAACAGGAAAGTTGGTAATACAAACTGCAGTTCTGTACATTCCCGGTGAGAAACAGTTGTTTTTCTTTTTAAACATCTGACTTGAAGGCAAACAGGTTGAACAAAAGCTGAAAAACTCTGTCAAAGAATTTCTACATTTTTATTCCTGGCCAATATAATTACCTGTGGATGATGTTTCCTCGTCTTGTAGCAGAAAAAAAAAGTTTTTAGGCCACATTCAGAAATATATTTTGCTGTTTTCTGACTTTCTTACTTGTGCAATAGTTGAACTAGTAGAAAATTATAACCCAATGAATTAATCAAGTGTCATCATTTATCTTCCTTTCAGCCCTTGCCTATACTTAATTTTTTATGGTGAATGCACGACTTCCATTTAACTGGACATTTGCATTTTTTTCTCTATTTATCTAGTAGGAATACCAAACAGAGAAGACAAATGTAGAAAAGAAAGCATGCTGCTGACTGACACTCCTAATATGATGGTCTACTTACTGCAGCTAAAATGTAGATAACAGAAAATACGGTAGACGGGGGAACGAGCAACATAGAAGCACTGGCTACAGAATAGGGCTTATTTGCCTGGACTTAAAAAATTACAAGCTCTGATACATTCTGAGTTGCGAAGAAATGGTAGATACTACTTTGTCATTACACCTGACTTTAATTGCTTCAAAAATGTATTATTTTTAATATTTAATGCCTAGGGCAGTATGCTGGTCAAATAAGGCTTAGCTATGTAGCAATAACTATATGCATCATTAATAAATATCACTTAAAATCAAGTTTAAATAACACCATGAATCACAATGATAATGGCAGAACTTTGAAAACACCCTTTCTAAAATACTTCCAAGACTGGTAGATTGGTTTAATCTTCCCAAAAGAAAAAAAAAAACAACCCAACTAACTAACCACTACAGTTGTTCACCTTCCTTCTTTATATCACTGAATCAGCACTGTGTGTGGAGGCGAGACAGGTGGGAGTGACTTGCAGGGAATGGAGAGGTGAGGAGGTGCATGAGGAACACAAGGGAAGGGTCTGAAGAAGGTAGTGAGAGCACTCCCACAGGTCTGCATTAGAACAGTGCAGCATGACAGAGGCTGCCAGCTGTGATGTTAACATGCTGGTGTGGTGCTCCCCTGGGTTAACTAACACACCTATGCTTTACAGCGGGTGCAACAGCACACCAATGCAACTTCCCAAATCAAAGCCACCTCACTGGGCTCAAGTATTTCTGTGGTGTGTTGCAGTTAAATTAATTCTCAAAAGAATACAGCAGCATGCTCAAAATGGAAAAAACTCTGGGAAAAAGAGATTCATTTGTCTTTAAACTCACCCCACAACCCAGTAATTCATTGTTGGTGGTGGTTTCTTCTGATCAGTCCAGTTTTCAGGAGAGCATTCAAACAAAAGTCCGTGTTCTGTTATCAGATCTAGGTCATCAGCTGCCTTACTGAATTCTGAAATCCCACTGCCTGCTTTTAGTTTATCCTGTAAAACAATTGGAGAAATGCTAGCATAGATTGAAATATTTTTACATAAACACTAGCAAATGTAACTGTGATTTCTTCAGGAATCTTTGATGAATGATACTGCTGTCAAAAAGCCAGACTCAGAAGACAGAACTAACATGCTTACATGATTCTTTTCTCGTTTTGTTACTTTGGCATTAACAGGCTTTTCCATTGTTATACATTGGAGGTAGACACATGCTCCCCCATTTTTTTTTCTTCTAGCTGAACACTATTTCTCTAATAAGACATCTGAGATAATACAGGTTCTTTATAAAAGTGTGTTACAACAGCTAAAGGTCTTATTTCTAATTCTCCGTGTGCCTCCCTAATTATGAACTGTGATAGTAAAAGTCTACTGAATAAACTTGGCCAGGCAGGAATTTTTTGTAAATAAACAGTTGAAGCACTTTGCTTAGAGCATTTTCTTGCTCTTAATTCATATAAGTGCCTAAGACGTACAGAAAATCAAGACATTTTTGTTTAAAGACATTTGAGTTTTTAGGACTATATTTTGTACAAAGCTTTTGAATAAACCTTGCAAAAGTGGTTTCTAACTGAACTCCTGGTACCTCTTTGGTGAGGATCAAACTGCATGCACAAAAATCATTTTACTCTCTGGCCCTGGCTTGGTGCTCAGCAGTCCTGTGAATCCAATAAGTCCATGGTGTCTTTCACCAGGAAGGTGAAAGGGAAAAAAGACCAGAATGAACATGGAGATAAACAGAGAAGGAATTCTGAAAATACTTGTCACTATTTTAACTCTTCTCCCATTTAAATCAAGGGAAGTTTATTACTGTTTTGTAAATGTCTATGTAATAATGAAAAAACAAGCTTTAAATCTTTTCTTTTTTGAAGCATGAGAAGTAGGATGAGATTATGGAAACAGGAGTGGAAATCCCTTTGAAACAAATCTGTTTTAAGAGAGTTGCTAAACCAGGGCATCTCTGGGTCTGCCAATAAAACTTTTGTTCCAAACAGTTGCTTCAAAAGGTGAAAGAAAAGGTGAAACCCAACACCCCCCCCCCCCCCCCCCGAAGATCTGGAAAAGAGTAGAAACACCACAACTATCTTAATTTCTCAAAAATGGCAGAAGTAGTGACATGGACCTCAGAATTTGAGAAACAAAATGACTAATATTCCCCTGAGAAAATATCTAGTTCTAAATTTCTCTAAACATGCTTTGGATTGAATTCATAAAGTATATTCTAAATGACTGCTAGTTCATAGAGTGCAAGAAATTTCAGGATAGACAACCCTTCCTGTATCTTTCCTTAGTACATAAAATGGTTTCAAACCCTGTTCTTGCCAATAGTGCTACTGTAAAAGACTTCAGGAATATGTTAGTACTCAGTCTGATAATCTTCACCACCAAAAACATGGGGTTGTTACCATGCAATTTCCAAGCTTACATTTGTTTATGTTTTAGCACATCTTAATATTATGCTATTCATATTGAAAATACTCAAGAAAAATTATATATTAAGAGAGGATATCTGACAGGACTACAAGGGTCTATATGTTCATATGTATTAAAACTTCTTTTCTTCTGATTTTATTTAGGAGTAAGAAAATACTAAGGTGATAATGAAGGAAATGAAGCCAGGGCTGCTTAATACCTATAGTGACATATTTTTTAGGGTTTAAGACTACAGAGCTTGTTTTTGCTCTATTTAAAATTTCTTCAAAATTTCTGTACACATTTAAAAATTAAATTGTGAATCTTCAGGTCTCAGAAAGTGAGGTAAAGCCAATTATTGATCAGTTTACAATAATTTTGCATTATTGGCACAATCTTACAAATCCTAAACTATAACAATATTTAGCTGATGTCAAAGAATAAGCAGTATTATTGTACATTTATATATTTGACCTTCTTCTTGTGCACTATGAACAAGGAAGACTTCTATTGATTTTTTCACATTCTCCTCATGCAACCTGCCAATTTCAGTATTAATTGTTAGAGCCAACCTGCAAAAACTACCCTAAATTTCTCAAAAAGAAAAACTTTGTTCTGCAATACATGCTCATCATGTGGTGATTTTCTGATTTTCAGAGCAAAATGAACCCAGCTGCTGCCTACTGTACTTGCTTCTTAAGCAGCCAGGAAAACATGTGCTAAGATAGCTGTAGCCAAAACAGAAGTTTTGACTTTCAAGCGTGAGTTTTTCACTTTTTATGATCTATCCTTAATAGCTGAATGATTTCTTCAGATTTTTTGGTTTGAAGTGTAAACTATCTAACAGTTATAACCAAAGCACTTTGATGGTAAGAAGTATTTGTGTATTTTGTCTGCTTGCTTTTGCGTTTGTACATCATCCAACAAAAGTACCCAAAATAATGGCTCAATGCCAAAAGTTCTCAGCCAAACCCCAGGGTTGTAAGAAGTTAACAAAACAATTCACCAAATTCCCTGTTTTTCTAACACTTAAAAATTCCTAGATGATTTACAAGGCATATCAGTCTAATAAGAAGTAACTTGATAACTTTAAGAAAACATTAAGAAAAAAAATATACTGCTTTTGCAAATGATGTTCATTCAGTTTGTACTGTTACTTCCCATTTCTCATTTAGTTTACTTGGATAGTCACTTTAGGATCTAAAAATTACAACTGATAAGCAATTACTCCAATTGATAAACAGTACTCCATTTAGTTTTGTAGTTTATTTCTCTTTTACAAAACAACTAAACAGGACACAAATTTAGCAGGCACAAAATGTTATCCTAATTTGGCTGATGTCAGTAAAAATTAACTGTGCAATTAACAAAACAGACTTTTAGCAAAACAGTGTACATTGAACACAAAGTGTGAGCTGAAGGGAGTATCTCATAAATGGATTCTTATACCTATTGTTTAGATTTCTGTATTACTACTATCACCTTACTCTAGACGGATCATTGGGAGTAAAGTCAAACACAAAGCAATACAGGTGTTGACATCAGATCTGTCCATTTTTAAGTCTAATCTAAGTACCCACATAAAGCTCTGGCAGCTGGGATCAGACTTCAGCCCAAGCTAAGAGCAAGTCTTGGACTGGTATCTTCCGAAAGGGAAACAGCCTAACCTATTCTGGTGAGAATTCTCTGGATTCTAAAATCCAAGAGATTTGGCAGCATAATTAAGAGGAATCAGTCGTTATAGCCAGACTTCTTTTAGACCAATATCCCCATGAACAAAGGATTACAGACATTAGTGGATGGTGATCCTGTAAGCAATCTTGGGTAGTATTAGAGACCAAAGACACGAAGAATGACCAACCATCTCATGGTCAGAAGCCCTCTTGAGGTCACTGTTCAGACACTGACAGCACAGTGAGGGAAAGCCGCACTGTCACCACTCACATTAAACATTTTCTGTGAAAAAAGAGGGCCTAAATTTCCTTTTGCTGCCAATCTGAAATCCTCTCCCAGCATTAAAATGGCTAACCCCCCTCTTTTGCTACTTACAGTTCCTGAAATCAGTGTGTGAAACTTTTAGCTAAGTTACAAACAAGAGTCCTAATATGATACCGAGTAAAATAATACACTGGAGAGATGTGGACTACTTATTTTGAGGGCATCCTTAGTGGGAAAGAGTGCCATAATTGCATGCAAACTTGGCTGGATGGTCAGAGAAAGAACCTGCCCATAATTAAAAATATCAGGAGCTTAAACCAACCACACACATGCAAATACACCTGTTAGTGAGCTACTTAAATAATGAAGTGAAATACTGTGTTGAGATTGTGAACAGAAAACCAGAAAACAAAGCTTCCATACTTCTTTCCTCATGGACTGCTGAAAAATGTCTCGAATTGAAAGACAGCAACGATAGAAATTCTCAATTAACTGAGGGTGGATGGAGCCACCAAGCTGTGCTACTTCTTTGTGAGTTGGAGTGATAAAGATTCCTTGCATCGTTTCCAAGGAGAGATAGTGGAAGAGGGTATTCTCAGGACCAGATGTCAACCTTAAAATTAAAAATAAATAGGAGTATTCATTTAATAATAAAATATTTTTGAAAGACATTTCAGTTAAACAAAATATACTTTTGTTTCTCAAGACAGAATTGATTTTCTGGTAACTGCAGTACAGTACAAAATGGATACAGACATTCAAAAGCTGCTTATTTCTACATGAAGGAAATCCTGGTAATCTGGACTGTTAATACTGAATTTAAAAATAAACCAAAAAACTATGGTACAAGGTAGGTATTGCATGTGTGTTCTCAAAAATTCTCACCAAAAACAAAGAAAAGGAGAAATGAAAGCTCTTTTTTGGGGGAGTGGGAGAGGGAAGCAAACCTTTCTTTAGAGCTCAAACAAAACCCCAGAGCAGACTGTGCTGTCACAAGCAACAAGTGAGACCTGGGAAGATCACGGATTTTTTGTCCTATGTGTATCTAGAGATACCAGGGAAGCAACAAGGTGCATGTATGGTCCAAAACCTCTTATATTTGAACTTCCAAGGTCACATATGTATAGACAAGTACATACATTCTACTTACATATTCTTGAAAAATAGTGGTCTTTTCTAATTAACATCTCCATTTAAGAGCTTCACTCTTGAGAATCCTTGCATAGTAAAACTTTTGGTTAGAATAAAATGACACAGGAATTTCAGTGATCTGTGCATATTTAAAAAAGATCCACGTCTGGTCTTAAAAATGAAATACTTAAAAATCATTTCTTACTTGACAGCATTAAGAAGTTCTGTATCTTTCTCTGAAAGGTTCTTTTTGAGGCTTCCTAAATTAAATGGATTTGGTAGGGTATGTTTTTTTTTAGTGGCCTGAAAAAAAGCATAGATATGAAAGAAGAGAAAAAAAGCAGCAAACAGAAGAACAGAATCAAACAAAACAAATCACCTGCTCAGAAAAAAAATAATAGCATTTTCTTTTTTAAAGGCCTAAACAGTTAATTTATATAAGTGTATTTTGCAGCCTATTTTAGACTAAAATGGGTTAGAAGCATGTACAACTGTGCAGCACTTTGTTCTGGTAACTTATTATTAACAGTATTATTATTTTGGGGGTATTCTCCAATCATTTCTGCTGCTTCCAATGCAACTATGCCTGCTTTGACTTGTGAAAAAAAAACCAACCCAAATTTACAAGCAATGATAAAATTAAAAAATGTGATGGCTTTGAGGCTGACCCAAAGCAACAGAAGTATTTCCTACTGAATTCAGGGCTCTTTAATTTAGTCTTAAGAGTTACTTGAGTGAGTTTTAAAAAGAACTGCCACCTCCCCCAAGCCCACCGGATACTCTTTGTCTTTGTTCTCAGACCTGATCTACTGCAGATTGTTGATTACTGCTTTCATCTTCCACAGGACCTTCATTACCACGGTCAGGTCCTCCACTGCTCCTCGTAGGGCTCGGCTTACGTGTCATTAAAGATGAGTCACCAAACAGGGTCCTTTTGCTTGCTGGAGTGGTTCCTGATTTCAAAGTATTTTGTAGCTTGCTGAGCATGGGTGAGGTGGTCAAGTTCTCAGATTTGTCACGTGTTGCAGGAAGGAACCAGTCAGCACAAGATAAAGGTGGGATGGAAGGAGAATCTAGCCTTTCCTCTATGCTGGCATCTATTCCTTCCAGTTGAAGTATAGTGGCTTTGACCTGATCTACGTATACACAGTCTGGTCCTGGATTCCCAATTGCTTTTGAAGCACAGCCTCCCGCCTCTAGCAGGACACACAGCATAAAGTATCTCTGTAAATATGGAAGTAGCAGTATTAGTGTTTGGTTTACACTTAGCCTTTTTAGAATTTATACTCAAACTTGCAAGTTTTACAGATATAGAAATAGTGCTACTTTCTGAGAGAGTCTATCCCACAAGACAGCTATAATAGAAATATTTTGTAAAGTTACTGAATAAAAGGCATGAAAGTGTTGATCTTACTGAACAACAGACAACACACAACAGCCAAACAGAGTACTGGAGAACAGACACACTGCAGATGTTAACTTACCAAGCCAACTATCAGTAAAAAGTATCTTGCTTCAGGCTCCCTGTATCCTGTAATAGCAGAAACTTCACATGGCTGGATATGATGATGTGGAAATACTTCCCGCCATATCACTAACTGACTGATCTTCTGTTCTGCTGCCAAGGGTAACAGACAATAGTGCCGACAATATAAACCTATGTCAGTAAGATCTTCCTTTGGCAAGTGATTACCAATCAAGTAACCCTTAATTGAACACAGAAAAGGAAGTGTATTCAGTAAGAAATACAACATCACCACTTATCACTTAAGAGTGCTTTTCACATAGATATTCACACTCCACATGCATTGAGACTGTAAACTTTCTGGCAGAGACTGTTTTTTTGGTGTACCTTTTACAACAGATAACACTAAGCTTTTGAACCACATCCGAAGAATCGGAATACTGAAATATAAAGAAAGAAAACATCAGCATATATGCAAGTTATCAAAGGCAAGCTGCGAAACGCTAGCTTTAACAACTTGCAAACCAGCTACAGACTTAAGGTGCTTTAATTCTCATTTAATTCGCTCTCCAAAAATACTAAGCTGTCACTGAAATCAATAAAAGATCCAAAGAAGACATATAGTATAAAACCATTTCTAGCACCAAGGGTGTTATGGCTAGAAAGCTGCCATGGTAGATACTAAGCAGTTCCATCTGTGCCAAATGTTTAGTTCCATAACGCTACCAGCATAAAGAGCAACGACATGATAAAATCCTTAAAATGTAATTTTCCTAAGGGAAAGGTTGTTACCTTCCTATTTATACTGTTAAATATACTGTCTATATTTAATAACGATACATAAATTTACAAAAGAAGCCCAAGCGAAAAAAGCTGTCAATACAATTCCTCAAGTCTTTGATTTAAAGATAGATTAAGGATAGATCACCTGTTACCTTTATGAAAAAAAATGGCAATGAACCAAAAAAATTCCTATTAGGATCTCATACAGTCTCCCTTGAATTGACTCTTCCTACTTTCTTACTACTGTCTCTCCTTGAATCATACCCTGCAAAATTCCCATGAGACAGTTTCAACCAAGCTTTTTGTTCTTACTTATCACATAGCATCTACCACTTCCTGAAACTGATTTTTTTCTGTTGCGGTGTTCGAGTTGTAGGTCTCGTACTACAAATACATATTTAAAGCCATCATACATTTTTTCTCATATTTGTGAAGTTCTTAAAAGAGTTACTCTATGACTGGCTTAGATTTCCAGACGCATTTTCTAAATCTTTAGGCCTTAATCACTAATACTACCTTGTAGAAAAGACAAGAGCCCATAATCATATATAATCTTCTCATGTCATAATAATCTTCAGACTGTGGGGAAAAAAGCATAGTATCATTTTTAATTCAGAATTTCTGCTTTAGTTACCAAATGCAAGTCACCTACTTCCAGTCAACTGTAATCAGTATCTCATGTAATATTTTCATTTTTGACCTCCTCTTATCAGTGCAACAGTTAATACTGAATGGTTCAGTGAATTACTAAGTTTTTACCCTCCATTGTCAATTTTCATGTCACTACTATTTTCTCTAAAAATTTCCAGCTCAAAAATAACAGATTTCCTATTTGGTGCTAATCTGTCCATAAGCTATTTTTGTTAGGTTATGCTATCTCTGAATTCTTAACAGCAAAACAGCTGAAACATAACTATCGACACCAGAGTCCCTCCTAGAGTAAAATTTCCAAGTCAAAGCATTCCCCCCCCCTCCCAATTTGATGTTTTACCCCAAATATACCCATTCCTTAGATCTTTCAATCTAGATGTCCAGTACTCTCAGATTAGTAAACTACCTTTAGGTGGATATAGCGTATTTTACATCAAGCGGGTGCAATCAATTTCTGTCCCATGAACCACAACTTATGAACATTGCTTTCTGTAAATAATCATCCAAGTTGTTTAGTACAGTGGTTTTACTTTTTTTTTTTTCAATTCTTTTTCAAGATGGACTGTATGTCTGCCTACCTTGTATTTTAGGTTTTAAGAGTCGTTACGTAACTTTTTGTAATTAAGAATATATGTATCCCAAATTGTTATGCTATATATGTGATCAAGCACAGTATCTTTATGCTCAATTCTAACATGCCTATGAAGAATATAAATTTAGAATAACTGTTCTGGAATGTAAGTTCCAGAAAGCTCATATTTGATTAAGAAGAGTGGATTAATTTGGAATTAGTACTTTTTTAAACTACTGAACATGACACCAAGGCAAAGAGATCCTGTACAATGCGAACAACAAAAATAAAATGTTTACCAGCTCTGCAAAGTCAGCTGCTTCCAGGTCACTCAGTGCTGTGTCAATCTCCATCTGAAATAATTTAAGCAGTGAATTTTAGTACAGATTCCCCATACATGAGCTTACAGTAATAGCATGGTGTGCACCATCCTGCTAGTCTCAGAAGACGATTATTCATGAGTACAAAGTGAATGGATGAAAATTTGCACACACATTTCAGTAGTAATACCCAGTATCAGGAACACCTCAATTCATCAAATTAAAGAAAAGTCCTTCTTTATGGCTGTGTATTTCCCTCTTGAAGCTGTAACATTTCTCTGCTTGCGTGCCTGCTGAACCCATGGTTCAGTATAAAGGAGATGTCACTCTTATTTTCAGAGTTCTTTAAAACATGTGGGCTAGAGAAAGCTCTGAAATCTGGCAAGCTATTGTAGCCAACTGAGTTATTAGAAAAATCTTTTTCAAATGGATGTAGTTTTTGTCTCTATGGAAATTGCCAAACTTTCTCACACGTTATCTTTGTTCTACTGAAAACACTTTGAAAACTGGCTTACTTCTCTAACTACAAGAGCTGTTGGTTAATATACATTTTACTAAAACTACTTTCCTTTAAAGAATATGGTACTAGGCACTGAAAGAAGTTCCTGCAGTAAATGTGCTTCTTAGTGAAAAGAACCTAAAATCCATCATTACAGGCTTCTTGGGATGTATTAACAGGGTGCCTCTAATTGAAATACAGCCAGTTTTCAAACAGAGAAATGCCAGAGAGGCTGTTGGCAGTTGACAACTAACCAGTCTCAGCTTTTCCTCAGTTAAAATATAAACAGCCTTCTGCCCAACAAAGAACTGACACTTTTAGTTTTATATTCCTTAGAGAATATAAAGATCTTTACTAAAACTTAACTGGTAATTTCGTCTTCTGCAACAACAAATTTTTCTGGGGAAAGGAGATGATCTCAGACAATTTTGGAAAGCAATATCGGTATCATAAATATCAACTATATTGTTTGAGAAACATGTGAGCTAAACTAGAGAAAGTGTAGTAGAGTGTTTCTACAGAAACTTGAAAAAAAAAGAAGGAAGCAGAGAGGAAAACAAAATTGATCAGTAAACAGTGCAAGAAAAAGTCATTTTCTACATAGGACAAAAATGCTGACAATGGTTTGAGATGGATTAAGTTGCATGTCAAATGTATACTAGGTTGCTGACTGATCATATTCTACAACAATGTGTTGCATAAACATTTTATTCTCTTCATATGTGAATAACACATTTCTTTTATGGAGCAAGGATTTTGCAAGTGAGTGGACAGGAATGTTACAGGACTGTCTGAATACCTCTACATTTGTCACCTGGATAGCAAATTTAGCTCTGGAGTTAAGACATGAAAAGAACTTTTCTGAAACACTCGTAGGTAATTCTATACATATTTAATAGAGCATTCATACATGCATATTATAAAAGCAGAAGTTTAATTGTTGGAAACATATTGGCCGCAAGCACATTCAAACATCCTATGGGTAAAGGTAGAAAGAACTAAATCATTATCAGTGTGATGCTCAAGGTAAAGGAGAAGACAATCCATATACTGGAGAAAAGAGAGAGATAAAAGTTGGGGCTGTTCAGCCTGGAGAAGAGAAGGCTGTGTGGAGACCTCATAGCAGCTTTCCAGTATCTGAAGGGGGCATATAGGGATGCTGGGGATGGACTCTTCATTAGGGACTGTAGTGACAGGACAAGGGGTAATGGGTTAAAATTTAAACAGGGGAAGTTTAGATTGCATATAAGGAGGAAATTATTTCCTGTTAGGGTGGTGAGGCACTGGAATAGGTTGCCCTATTAGGTTGTGAATGCTCCATCCCTGGCAGTGTTCAAGGCCAGGTTGGAGGAGGCCTTGGGCGATATGGTTTAGAGCGAGGTGTCCCTGCCCATGGCAGGGGGGTTGGAACTTGATGATCTTAAGGTCCTTTCCAACCCTAACTATTCTATGATTCTATGACTACACCAGCAGACAGAAATCTGTTTGGTAACAAGCAAGCTCTGCATCTGTCAGTGCTGTAATGTCCATGGCAACTTGCATTACTGAACATTAGGAACCCTAACCTAACCCTAACCCTAAACACTTTTGAAATCTGTACATAAGGCCTTATTAAATGGAAAAATCAGAAAACTAGGAAAGTCCTAATTAATATTATCCTCAAATAAAGACCCTATCAGTTAAAGAACATGCCACTGCAGAAGGTAATTTTTAACATCCAAACTCTGTCGTTTTGCAGACCCATTCTGAAAAGCAGTTTCAGTTGTCCACCATACAGCCTCTTTACTTTCAGTTGGTGTAAAGTTCATTTATTTTGTTGTTGCTGGTGAAATAAGCTTGGATAATGGAGTTTATTGTCAGCTCAGATTAGAATCATTGTCTAATACTTACAGCTAGGCTTAACTATGCTGTCTACAAACTTACAAATAGTTTGGGTCTATCCACAAAGGAAAACTCTTGTGTTTAAAATTTCCCAGCTGTTTCATTTGCACTACATCTTGGGAAATACCCATTAAAAACCAAACTCCACCATGACAAGTCTAACATATTCTAAACATCATTCCATCTTAGTGATTTTTTTTCCCTATGAAATTTTTTAAAAACTGCTATACATGTACTGACTCAAATACAATATGCACTCTTCCTGTGATATGGAAAATAACTTCCTAGTTGTAGAGCTGAAAATACTTTAAAATCACAAAGGCAAAAATGAATCCTAAATTCACTAACATTCAAGAGGACGGAAAATGGAAATGCATTGAATCTTTCTTCCATTGACCTGAAAAGCTGCACCTCTTACAGTGTCAAAAAAATGATGTATGGATATTTATTTTGATTCTGTAACAGGCATTTAAATTATAAGTTACACAAGGGCTTCTGGAGTAATATTTTCTAACTGGAAAAAACCTTAGATGGCCAAAATTGAACATAAAGCTACATGCCAGGGCCTGCTTTCCCTATGGCATATGCTGGTTGGTAGAGAGGTGTGTGTATATGTATTTTACATAAAGTTAATCTTTTTGTCATCATGTTCTCTTCCTATGTAACCAGTCACCGAAGTATGCTCATAATAGCAATCTGCTTCTTGTGAGAATGACTGTTTAATTTCAAACTGAACTAAAGGATCCTGTAGGAAGAGGGGTGGTCTGGGATGGGCAAAGGGCTTCAGTAAATTACATGCTAACAGCAGAGATACCTGCATCAATTTTGTGGCCTCTCATATACAAGTTTTTCTAGAAAGCTCTGAAAAAACACATTACCTTGACTTCCTGAGGCAATGTCAGCCAGCGCAAGCCTGGGAGACTGTTTAAGAATAACGCACTGCAAGTATCATAGTGTTGAGTGCTGGGGCTGGCATTTGACTTGAGTCTTGCAGGCTGAAGCGCCCGCTGGAAGAACAGGTTGAAAAAATGATCCAGCCGAGAAACATTGTCCACCTGGCAAAAAGCACTGAACAAACATGAATTCCAAGTTAGAATAACAGAGAAACTTGTAGCTTGTCTATATAACCTGCTGTGCTTAAAGAGGCTCTTTACAGCATGATACTACATTTGGATTCGGGGTTTTTTTAAACAGTTGTTTTAAACACGAAAAAAGCCAGTAGGCTAATCCAGGCAGTGCCTACAAACAAAGGAAAAGCTAAAGCAGCATAGTATAACAGCAGGTATCTTAGAGCAACTTAGGATGCAACAATGATCAGTTTCATCCTTTTAGAAATTATTATTTTTCTTTCTCTGTGGGACACAGATGTTAACCCTGAATTGAATGCAAGCATGTGAATAGCCTACCTTGGCCATTAGGTTACGGTCAGACTGAACGTTTTCTGTGTGTTTACCAAATGCAGAGACAGACAAGTCACTCTGCCAAATGAGGTTCTAAAGTCTGGTGAATTTACTTTATTAAAAACAAACCACTGATTCATACTTGTGTTTTACAGTGCTTTAACACAAAAGGTCACATTTGCAGAGTGTTGCTGACATCCAGTGACTTCGATTATGTGAATGATTTAAACTAATCAAGGACAAAACTTCCTGAATCAACAGACTGTTTTAAAAAGTGTCTTAATGTGTGTTAAGACTGAAACAAAAAGGCAAGGAGAACAGAATCCTGGGTTTTGTGCAAGTGTAAAGGAACATGCAAAGAAACTCCATGTAAACATTACCACTACTAGCTGTCTTCAGTGAGCATCAATGAAAAATCAGTGACTGAAAAGAAAATACCTTTGAAAGAACTCACCTGTCTAAAGAGCCATACATGAATTTCAAGGTCCTGACAACATCTTCAATCATGTTCCTCAGCTGAGCAAGTGGCACACTAAGAAAAACCAAAACAATTCAAATGTACAGCTAAGTTTATAATATCTTTACTATGAATAAGCGTAGGCATCTCCTGAAGAGCTCTATTCTTAACTAATAATGTAGTGCAAACAAAAAATTCTTCATTAGACTCGGTGAGAGACTTCCTTTGAGTGACTTGTCCATAACAACATAGATGGTAGTAAAGCTGGGAGGGGATGGAAAGTCCTAGAACACATAAATATATAATATTACTGCTGTTATTCAGTAGTGTCTAATCGAGACTTGACTTTATCAAACACTGACAATCACTTTTTTTAAACGACACCTACTTCTGAGATCTAATGACACCTTATTCCTTCTAGACAAAATGAAAGAGAAACGTAACAATGAATATATAAAAAACGTGAATAAGGTAAATCAAAAAAGGGGAAATCACGGGAACATGAACTAGTTACAGTAGAAAGAGTACATTGTAAGCCATCCCTTTCTTGCTTTTTGGATAGAAGAGTACAATTTGAGGACACACAATAGGAAATAAAATTAAAAGGAAAACAAAGCAGCTTATTTGAAACTCACTTTTCTTCAGGAAGACCAATTACAAGCAACTTGTCACCTTCTTTCCAGTAAACAACCTGAACCAGTTTTTCGCATAAGAAAAGGGAGGAACTAGAAAAATTAAACCAGAAGTACTTCTGTTAACACTGTGAAGCTACAAAACACAACCTTTATAAGCCAGAATGTTTTATATGTATTTTATATGCAGACTTAACGCTCGTCTATAATCACATGCATACAACAAGTGGGCTAGCTAATCATGTTACTAAAGAACTTGAAGTCTCTCTTGTTTTGGTTCCAAACAGATCACACTAGTATTAACAATGCTTTCAAGTGAATGACCATTACTGAAGTGCCACAGTCATCTTCTGAATCACTCAGATGCTCTTTAAAGGTCTTCCTGCCTAGCTTTTAACACAATCAACTTACAAAATTAATGTCATTTCAGATTACAGTGAGGTATCCAGAGGTACTAATTAAGGTTCTGAACATAGCAGTCACTCACGAAATGATTTAAAAAGACTCCACATTTTGCAAACAAGCCCAAGAGGTATTTGAACATATTACCTGAGTGATAAACATAAGCTTGAACTCTCATGCTACTTCCTTGTATAGAAAATTGCTCCACGAAGCACAGCAATCCCAGAAAGACCAACAGAACTTTCATTTGAACCACAGAGTGAATTAGAACATGAAACTGAATTAGGCCCAAGGTTCAAATTAGCAGTAAATCATACATTATGCACCAGGTTATCACATTAAATGTATTGGTTGCTGCTAAAAACAAGCTCTATAAATATCTCAAACACTAAATTTATAGTAAACCCCCATCTTTCTTACTATCACCTTAGAAATTTTAAATAACATGACACTGCTGCAAAGTGAAACAAGTGTAACAAGCTTAAGCTTGAAAGATTCAGGAACTTAATTTTTAGGATATGACTCCATGAATAACTTTCTTCACTCATACAGTAAAATTGATGGTGCTAAATAAAACAATAGTGTTATTTCATTAGGTAAGAAATACGGTAGTATTTCCGCAGGTCACCAAAACATTTCTCTCCTTCATGTTACCAAACGTGCTTTCCAAACAAAACAAATTATATATTTAAAATGCAAATAACTACAAAGAAATAAACATCCCCACCCCAAAAGTTACACCATACATATGCAGACACAATAATGATAATTTACTCTTAGAAATCTGATTGCAGCTGTTGCAGAATTTCCAGTCTCCATACTACAGTCCCACAGAATCCCAGCTTAGATAAGGATGCTTTAAGAGATTTCAGGAAGGATCTAAAACCAACTTAACTGAGCTAAAAATCCTAGTCATTGCCACCCATGACAAAGAAATTCCCCTAAATCAGTGTACATCCTGGCAGAGCAGCCCAATTTCAGGCACGCTGTTCTAGTTAAAATATTTCTGCCTAACAGGTAGAGTCACTCTTCTTTTGTCTGGAACTGGATACACAACCCATGTGTGGTTTTCTGTACACATATGTATAAACTAATAAGAGTAGCAGCACATTACATTTCAAATACTTTTACCTGATAATCTGGGTACCGGTAACACTTTCCAGTATGTCCGACAGTGTGAGAAATATTCCTCTCACACTTTTCAGTTTTTGGGATGCTTCTGATACAGGGTACTGATAAAGGATTTCTTGCTGTGAAGAAAGTTAGCTGTTAGTTAAGCAAAACAAAACCAAAGTCACCAAAAGAACCCAACCCAAAACTAAAAAACCCCCGAACAATCAAAATGTTCCTCCACATTTACTGCTTTCTGCCAAATCATGACATGCCAGAAGTAATGCATGCAGTATTAAGCATATCCAGTGCAGAGTACAGTAAATTATCTTTCTACATAAACAAAAGAAACATAGACATGATTAACTTTCCTCTTTATGTCACTAAGCACATCCAGCCAGTGCCAATACTCGTTAGAAAATTTTCCTTCATCAAGATTAAAAGAATATAAAGTTTAATTACAGAAGGACCTGGCAAACTTTGCATTCTTACCCAATTTAATTAGCTCTATTTTCAAATACTCATTAGTAACAAGGATTTTTTTTTTCTTGAATGAATCCCTCAGATGGAAAAACCCCTGCTATTTCCTAATTACAGCACTACAAAGGGCTAGAAACAGCCTTTCTTTCTCCTCACTATGAGCTGTGGCCTTTACACAAAATTCATTTCCCAGGGAAAGAAAAGACAACTGTAACAAAAGGTCATCGCTGTATCATAGATACACATTAATGAGTTAGCAAGGTTCAGCACACATCACTATGCAAGATCAACTGTCTTCAAAGCAAGGCGAAAGTTCATAGGACAATGACAATGGAATTAATACGTAAGAAGTAGCTCATTTCTTCAAAAGTATAAACCCTCTTTCAATCCAAAAAACCTCAAACCTGGACAGATCTGTCTAAACTAATGGCTTATCAAATAGCTTCTCTTTTTTGTTTTATCCATTTCTCAAACTGAGCCTAAAGAGCATTTTAAAAAATGTGTTAGTGCAGTCCTGACAACATAAGAAGTGGCTAAAAAGAAACTGTGTCAAAAGGGTGCCTACCAGCTAAAAACCTATAATCTTCAAACACACTTCACTGACAATAGTCCTTAAACTGCATGTTAAGTACAATTAAAAAAGAAACAGATGAAAGACAACTGTGTATTCTTAAAGATTAATTCAGAAATTGTAAAACCAGAGAGAAAAGCTACAGGAAGTACAAGTCAGTGTCTGCATGAACCAAGCTATCTTCACAGCTATTTGCTAATAATTTGCAAGTATGCTAAATGCATGCTTCCAGAAAATACTATCACGTAGGAGGAACAGGAACATCATTCATTTTAAAACATGGTGTCACCAAAATGAGTTCAAACACATAAAGATGTGTAGTTTGTATGCTGGTACGAACAGCGTACATTATAACTCTAATATCTACCTTGAGCTAAAACATACAAAAAGCTGTACTCACTGAAACCATTATCATATGGGACTCCCCCACATCCCAAAGGATTTCTAATACTGCTTTCCTTTACAGTTGAATAGCTCACAACTCTTAGAGCTCATTGACTGTATTTTTAGGTGCCAAAAGCTCACAAGTGGAAGAATTAGTTACTAGCTTTAATTGCCATTGCTTACATGGATGTGATCCACATACCAGGTCTCCCTTGGACATGGATAAAGCAGCTTAGTAAAGGATCATTGTATTTTTATTGAGCAATATGGCATAGGTGTATGGTAACTTCAATGCTAATTTGAAGTACTGCTGTAAACTAAATCTGAAACAGGACATCTACTGGATAAATGTCTCTTACCACTCACCAAATAAAATTAAAGACAACTGCCTTGAAGAAGGCAGCATTCTTTTGTTCAGAAATGTTAAAAAAAAGAGCTTGACTGCACCAGCGAAGCATCTCTCAACATTAGAGACCATCTGGGGCTCCCTAGCTGTCAGGACTTACCAAGAAACAACTGTTCCATGGTATGAAGGGGAGAACAAGCACATTACAATCCCTCTTTTACCTCCGCTCAACATTCGTGGTTAATCCTGTTTCTTGGAAGGGTGTAAAGCAATAATGGGGCAAGAAAGCAGGGCTCCTGCTTTCTCTTCCTGCATTTACTCCGAAGTGCAGGAATTGCAATTAGGCATTTGCATATCTATCACCTACCAACAGAGGAGCCAGAGGCCCTGAAATACATATTTTTAATATTTCATAAACCAAGAAAACACTGGTCTTTAAGTCTACAGCAACCGTTCGTAGCTGTTCTAGCTGCAGAACATAGCAGTCTTGCACTGCAAACTTAACAACTGGAAAAAAAAAAAGAGAACTATTTGCAATAACGTAAGTTCACCTTCATAAAGCATCTTGGGTTTATTTAATTCACAGTTAAATGAGCTCTTTTCATTTTTATTATATGGAAATACCAAAGCAGAAAAATACCACAGTATCACGATTTAATGGAAGCAGCCTCCAGGTGGGGAAAGGCACAGAATGACCTTGCCTTGTTGCAAAGCTATTAAAAAAAGTAGTAGTAATTATGACAAACACTTGTGTAAACTTAACTTCTGCTGAAGGTACCTCTCACGAGAAAAAGGAGTCTCTTAAACAGGATTGGAAAGGACTGCAAACCAAATCTTACAGTGTAGTATCTTGCTGTAATATATAATGAAGCATATGCTACCTTAAAAATATTACATTAAGAGCATGATTTATATTGTAAAATCAAGCACTCCAGAAATAGCAAGTACTGGATTTATGGTTGCCTAATAAGCTTTAATTATACACACTCATCTGTCCGCCTTGTCCTCTGCATAAAGCAACTTTCAGAAAAAATGTAATACTCAAGACAACCTCATGCTGTGTACACACAAAAGGGCTGAATTAAAATTGCACAAGTAGCCACAAATCTATCATTTCCTAGCTTTCAACCACTTGATTCTGCAAACTTCACAACAGTTTTTATATGATATCATGACATTTTTAATGACATCATGTAATCTTCTAGGGTTCTCCTCCCCAGCCCTGTCTCTAGAAAATCAAATTAAACTCCATTATGTGTGGTTGAAACATATTTTCTCTATTACACAATGCCAAAAGAGCAATACAGACCTCTATCTTTTTAAAAACTGTATTAACAAAAAAAAAAAAAAAAGACATCTCAAAGAGGGGATGGACAGTGACTGGATTTAAGGATTAATTTCAGAGAAGTGAAAGGAAAATGTCTTTTTTCTGCTCCCCACTCCATCACTCTTCCTACCACCCCAGTCCCTGAGAACTGGCAAAACTTGTCCTTTGCTTGATGTCTTCATATCAAATAATGTATCAGATAATATCACTAGTGCAGTATGATAAATCTAAATTGAACTGTCAGAAGGGGAGGAGTTTTATTCCAAATGTCTGTTCCCAAAAAGTCCACTTTGTCCATTTGTCATTCTCAGCAGGGTAAGAAGCCAGACTAAGCCCTCCCTGCTGTTCTGTGTCCCAGCATTCTGAATGTAGTATTTGTAACTATGGCTACATCACGAACAACATCTACACAAAAACTTACAATGGGTTATACCTACACTGGCAATATTCTCCTGAAGAACATGAAAAGAAAAGAGATGTGAAAGGAAGCTTTACAGGACAAAGGAAAAGAACTCCAGTAGCTCAAAAACGTCACTCAAGTGAAAATCTACAGTTGGTTGCAAACGGTAAACATAGGAGAATCGTCTACAAAAAGGCACATCAGCATTTCAAAACAGGAGGAGCTAGGCAGACTATGTATGTGGTCTGCCAACAGCTCCTGCTGGGGAAAATTTTTTTGATTAGGCAGATTTCATAGTTTGAGAGGCATATTGAAAACAGCTCAGTGAGCATCTAAGAGACAATCATGACCTTCTTAACTGATCCCTGCTTTGCCTGTTAACACCTCAAGGCTCTTCATGTAAAGATATTCAGCACCAAAGAGATTTCAAATCCAGAGTTTGTCAACAGTGATGGTAATTCCCACCCACCCCAGAATTTCAAGCCTTATTTCTGTCAAAATGGACACTTTATGGACTATTCATGACTCAAAATGATCAGTAAGATTTATTTTTATTTAATATCAAAAGGTGTAGCGGTTGCTGTTGTCAGTTGTTACCTTTCATCTTCAGTTTTATTTAGTTGGTCACATACCTCATCCTTAGATGTTTCAGAGTCCAGTTTCAGTGTGAGGAACATAACAATATGAGGCACGTCTTGCAGAGCCTGTTGATGGTCGATGCTGTCTTCTCCCCACAAAAGCTGAACCAGATTGTTCATACTTGACTGTGCCCGTTTATACCTTTGCTGAGAAGTTTCTTCAGGCTCAAATATTGATGTTTCAAATGTAAGTTTAACCTATTGAGATAATTAATTCTTGTGAAAATGAGGCTGTTACAATTATGTTCCAATCCCAGATGGAATAAATGCAGTTTGAGCCCTTAAGTTTTCTTAGTCTTACTGACAAAGATGTAAGCATTCAAAAATTCCTGCCGTTTGAAGAAAACCAGATAAATATTCAGCATTACAGAGCCACCTACTATTAAGAAGAAACGCAGCTATCACATGTTCTATGAACCATATGAGTAAGCATGTGGTTTGGTGTGTTTTCATACTTAATTCTTATGGGTTTGAGAATGGAAAAATATTGCTCTGGGGTTTGTTTGAACACAAAACCTATTACCATGCTTTGGAAATACACACGTTATTTGACTTCTTTCAGAATGTCAGCACTTTGAAGTATTTATCCTCAGGGCTCTTTCATGAACATTGCTTTGCTATTCAAGTGCACTGACAGGTACATTTGCACAGGGAAATCAATTTACATTAGACTGGAAGTCTGCTAATTTGTAGCACTCAGCAGCAATTCTTTCAATGTGCCCACATTTCAGTAGATTAACTTTTTTTTTTTAACTGTAAAGTCAGCAAGTAAGTTCTGCTGCTGTATTTGACAACTGTACACAACTAGCAAGAAGTGTAAAAATGATTTACAGCACTTGATACATTTTGTCTTCAGATGGAAAAACTGCAAAGCACAGAGAATTAGCTCTTAAAATAACAAAGTTCCAATGATCAACCTTACTTTGTCAAAAAATTACTTGTTTAGTGTTCTTTGTTTCACAAATAAAGTGAACACTAGGAATTTTAGAGTAAGTCTATATTTCGGGGGTCACAAGCAACACAACGTCCACACTTGGCGTGGAAATTTGCTTTACAAACCTCCTTTTTATGAGGACTGCCTTACAAAAATCATGTTTGGTAGGTGTTCCAGCAGTGGTGAAATAAAAAGAGTCTTTTTTTTTGGTGAATGAACACTTAATTTTAAGTATGAAAGAAGGATTTGTGAGAAATACCTTGCTCTTGACTGAGCATAAAATTGTAATGTTCAGAAAGAATAAACTGATTTATTTTCTTGGATGATAACTTTAGTTTTCATCATTGCTCAAAGTGAGTAAAAATGCATCTATTTGGACTAAGCAGGCACACTCTCAGTTCCCTCCTTCGTATGCTTTTACTCAAGATTTTTGTCTGCCTTGAAGTATCCTTAACATACCTATTGACTGGGAAGTTCTAAACTTGGAAGTTTAGCCTAATGATTGATGCAACAAAAAAGGCTTATATTTTCCCAGTTGCAGCAAATTTGAAAAGCCCAAGCAGAGGTAATTTATACATTTAAATACAGACAATTTACATCTTCGTAACTGTGAGCAGTGCCAACAAGAAATAATGATGCTTTAGAACACCCACTGCCTATCAACCTAGATCAGACAGAAGTGCCATCATCAGCTCTTCCAGTTACAACATTTATGGCACCGGCTGATGCCTTCCCACTTCATTCCCTCCCAACACTTCTCATTAATCTTTTCTTCTCCCATTTTGGCTGCTGTCAGCTTGTTCCTCTTTTCCCATTCCCTGTAACAGCACTGCATTCAATGCTTCTCTCATGCCATGTGCTACCATTTTCTTCTCTGACAGTAACTCATCCCTCGCTTCTTCTCTGACAGTAACTCATCCCTCGCTTCCTCCTCATTATTTCAATTTTGATTAATTACACTGCATATTAACAGGACTCAAGGAGCAGAAACACCCCGCTAAAAGCAGTGGCTTTATTAAGTCCCAGTAACTTGATCATTCACAGTTTTATAGATGTATATTTTCTCCTCTGGCATTCAGTGACTCGGTTCTCTTTCTCTGTCATGCCATCTGCATGTATTTCAGAGGATTTTCCTCATACCCTGTGTAATTTCTTGCAGATTTCCTCAAGGCTGAATAGTTACTTCTCTTAACTTCTAGATCTTGTCTATGGACACTCATTCATGACACTTAGGCTACAGTCTCTACTCTAATGACGCACAGATGTAATTCTTGCTGCAGTCTATCTTTGAGTCCCTTGATTAAAAATAAAGTAACCCAAACTGAATCTGTCTTGTCTTAGACACAACCAGACAGCTGTCCAAGCAAGAGCTCAAAAGAAATGGGGTCAAACAGAACTTTAACTCTTCCTCCTCCTGCAGGCATCCATGTTGCCTCCCACCCCTCTGTGGACAATACTGCCCCACTCAGATGGGAAATCGCTGTGTTTTGAGAAAGATCTCTCTACAATTTGACAAGTTCCTTTCTGACTCTTGATTCTAATAGCTTGAAACATGACATTTTCTGTTCCTCCCTACAAGTTCTAATCTATTTCCTGCCTTTAAAAAAGTACTGTTAAAAAAAAAAAAGAATAAAAAAATCTAAGCTGGAAATCTAAGCTGGAAAATACCGCAATAGAAATTACCAAGAAACTACATTTCTATGTACTCTAACACCACCACCCCCACTTTTTTAAGATGGTGGAGAAATCAATCTTCATCCTGAGCAGTACACTGGATCTGATTAGATATGACTACTGAAGTATCCTTCTGTAAATGCTGATGAAGTCTTTCACAACTTTGATTTCATTTCACCTAAAGAAAATCAGTTCTATGCACAGCAGAAAATGGAACAGGAAAGGAAATGAAGAATGGGAGAAGCACAAAAAATATTAGTATCCTAACTCTATACAGCATGCACACTAAGACATTAGAACAGTTGTAAAAAAGAATTTAATCAACCTGCAAGAAGGCATTGATGAAGGGACAGTAACAGCAAACTAGGAGGTGCATGGATGGGAATTTTTCTGCTTAGGAAAGATGCAGAAACCAGAACATGACAGAGCTTTCTGAAGTCAAGGAATGATAAATGGACATAATGCAGGAACCTGGGAGTATGAAATGTGCTTCATTAGATGGCAGTCTGAAAAACAAGAAAAACGTACGTAACACAAATCAGTTCTGTAAATCACAGCTACAGGATGCTATGGAGGTCAAAGGAATTTTAAGAACTAGATTAAAAAAGAAGGTACAAACTTGTAAGTGATCCAACAAGTCACTATTGACTGCTGTAACTATTGACTGCTGGAAGCTGGAAAAGTAGGATGGGAAGGTCACTCTGTATTTTATTTCACAGAATTACAGAACAGTTTGGGTTGTAAGAGATCTTAAAGACCCAGTTCCAACTCCCTGCCACAGCTTCTCTGGGCAACTTGTGCCACTGCCTCACCACTAAAGTCATTCCCCCTTGTCCTGTCACTACATGCCTCTCCATCACCTTTGTGGACCTCATTTACGTATTGGAAGGCTGCTACAGTTTGTTCAAAGGCGTACTTTCTGTATATCAGCAAGAAAGCTGTATGTCTTAGAATATGGATTTTATTACAGCCAGAGCTGGTAGCATTGACTGCCTTTTAAAACTGCCTGCTGTTTCCTGTTGTTAAGTCTCTGTTTTCCATATGCTTATGGTTTGCACAACGCTAAGTCAAAATTTCAAGCTGAAATTTCTGATTCTGAATGTCTGCCTTAGGCTGAGTATTTTCAGAAAGTTCTGGGTAAAATGGTTCTGCAACTTCCAAGTGTCAGGGTAAGAAAAAATATATTCTTTAGAATATCTTCCCTTTCCTATTCTGTCCTCTCTGTCTTGTGGTGTTAGGAAACAGCAGCTATTTTGATGACAGGAATTTAGAACTGTATAGACTGCAGCATATCACTTTATCTTGCATGCCCAGAAGCTAGTCTACCTAAACTGAGGTAAGGTTAACAATATTCTGGAAATATAATAATGAGAGCTGTTATGCCACATACTGCAACTGAGATAATCTAGGTAGTCAGGTTCTGAAATTACTTCCAGTAATTTTTAATACTGAGCCCAGAAAAGCACTGACTTCACTTCTGAAACTTATAACTGCAGTAAAACTGCTTTAAACTGCATTTTCTTTGATATTTTGCAACATGTGATGCATAAGAATACATTAACAATTTTGCTTGTATAAAGGCCATCTTTATTACTAATTCTTAGAAACAACCACCCTTTCTTTCTTCAGCAGCACAGTGTTCTACACTGCAAAACCCTCTCAGCGCTATGTATTTAAATTCTTCACTGGTGTATTTCAGCAATCAGTCTGGCTTGACTCAAACTGCACAGTAAAAAAAAAAGAATAATTGCACTTTAATAAAAGGCTTTGGAAAGCCAACATGACAAACAGTTACACATTTCAAGTAATCGCTGCCTACTTGACAGATTTACTGACAATGTAAACATTAATGCTACATTAACAGTAACTACTATATAAAGGGTTGCACTGCATTTTAGCAACAAATAATAGGTATACTCTAATCTAGCAAAGATACAATTACATAAACTATATAACTTCTGTTTTTTTAATCATTCTGTATTTAATAACAGTTACAGCAACTCCATATTTGGTCAAATACAGGCAAGACAAGGTTTTTCTACCATGGAGCTCTGCCAATAGCTGACCACAACTCTGGTAGCTTAGGCAAGCTTCATACTGTCAAACATCTTGGAAAGCTTCCTGACCTGACATACTAATAATCATACTGCAGTTGCAGATGTGGTTCTACAGGCACTATGTAAGTTGTGAACGGAAGCATGTTTAAAAAAACTTATCATCTCTGGAAAGTAAAAGATTTCTATTATTATCGTCACCTCATATATTCTACCTGAAAAAAACCTACCATGAGTTTACAGGCAGACTGTAAGAGACATGATAATTTTAACCTGCTCAGTTTCCTAAATTGCAACTTTTACTTTACCTTCCTTAAATCCAGGAAGTGGATTTAAGCAGAGTAATTCAAAAGACTTAATTTTATGCTACCAACAACCAAGGTAATTAATACTCTCCTGGTTTAATTCTGAACTAGCTATCTAATTCTTTATTACTTAATTCTTCATTATAGCTCCAATTCAGCTAGAAGAAACAGATATGTGCAGAAGGTTTAGGGGAAGGAACACTATTGATCAGGTCAGGTTTTGTTGTTTTTTTTTGTATCAATTTTTAATCCTGAGTTCTATCAATCTTTAGTGATAGAGATTGATAGAATTCAGTTTTGAAAGATCTTAAAGAGCATTTAATCTAAAAGCTCTTTAAACATCCAAGAATTTATTTTTCTATTTAAATAAGAAAGCAGTTATTAGTTTTCCCATTTAAATGCTCTTAAATATCTTTAATAGAGATACTTATTAGTTCAGGCTTCATTTTACTCTCCTGTGGTCTGTAAGCCTCTTGTATTGATGATATTTATTTTATTAAGTATTTTCATAGCAACTATTACCATTTTAAGAATGGTAATTGACAAAAAAAAAGCCACTACTATCCTGCAGTTGACATATTTTTAAGCTAGACATGAGTATCTTGCTTCAGACATGCTGCCGCCAGACTGCACATCTCCAGCTCTATTTATTACCCACCAGGAGCAAGACATCATAGTATTAGATAACCTTGTCCTTTGTTCACTGAGAGCAGAGTGTTCAAAAGAACAACTCTCAGAACAACCATTCTTGCCATCTTTACCCAGAACTACAAGTATCACTGGTTAAAAGTTTGTGCAGGTTTCAAAGGAGTTATTTCCCTGTATTCAACAACAAGTAATTAATTTTGATGCAAGTGGCAATGTAATAATCAAGCTGTTTTCTGAGCAAGAAAAGCAACAAAACTTGCTTTTTCACACAGGTATGCACTAGTTCTCACAGAGAAACATAAATACTCAGCATCCTGCATGCACAGAATCCCTTGATATTCTCAGTGGGCAAAAAAAAAAATCAGGAGTTATGGTTAGTCTAAACCTACAGGTATGCTGCTACCTCTTGTACAATGCTGCACATACTTTCTGACTCTGGCTAATGACAGAGCATGTAACTGCTGGACTATGCCTGATGTGTCTTAATGGGACACTGGCTCGAGTCACTTGCACCTACCTATTTTTGACAAAACTTACCAGAATCAAACTCTGAAATTTCTACTCTAAGTTTGACTGAAGTCAACCAATGTGTTCAAAGAGTGGATGAAGAAGTTCTAAGAAAAAGACCACCTAAATTCTGTTTCCTATAGAAAAAGGGTTAGATACAATATCAGTTTTTACAGAGGACAGTTGGAGTAAAAGTTCAACTACTGTACCTGCATAGGACCTGGAATGCAAGACAGAACCCTTTCTATGTTTTCAGAATTCACATCAACATCATTTACAGCAACTAGAGCATCTCCTGGAGATAAAGAAGACAAAAAGCATGAGAAAATTAGATGGCATTACACAATACAAATCCAAGTGTTTTGTCTTAAAAATATGACAAAATATCATAAATGTCTTTTTGTTACATGTAGATGGTTCCTATGTGAAACATTCAGCATGTTTAGAAACATCAGTCTATTACCTCAATGCTCTTAAGGCCTTATTGCCACACTAGTATAATTTTACATGAGTAACTGTCAAAGCCTCCCCCCTCCATCCAGGCTTATGTCACTGGTGTTACTTGATCAGAAAAAAAACACTTCACCCATCAAGTTATGTCCAAGATTTACTTTTTTTCCCTCCAAAACCACCCCTGTTTACTTGCCAATCCTTCTCCACTGCTATGTCCGCTGAAACACTACTGCTTCCAAAAGCAAACCAAAACTCACCCCTTCCTGTAGCAGCTTACAAGTTCTAGGCCCTGATTAGTAGAATGAATAGTATATTAATTCTCAAGAAGGTAGCCAAGAAACACTACATGACAAAAAGACAAACACAATACCTGGATGCACTAGGAAAAGCATTTCCTTTGAATGCATATAAGACCTGAGACAATCCCATCCAGAGTACTTCTTACAATTCTATTCACCTGTGCTCAATAAAAACGCAATCACATGTGATGAGATACATGGAACACTGCAGTGACCAGGGAAATGGAGAACCCATGTATACTGGTTAAAGATGGGGTAAAGGCTAGGTGCAGAAGCAGCTAGAGCAGAAAGCAGAAGGTTCTGTAGTCTCAAAACTGAGTATTTCTCCAGCCATCTGGACTGAATACCTAACACTTTAAGCCTTGACTTGGCAACAAAAATGTGCTCAACTGCAGAAATAAAGCACTGAACAACTGTAAGGTTCAGTACATATTTCAGGTTTTCTTGGGAGAAGACTTGATCAGCTCAGACTAATTCAGGGATGAAAATGACATGCATAGTAAGGAAAAGAAGAATCTGTGTCTCTACGGCCTCTCAATTTCCTGAGAATCTCGTAACGACAATGGAATCCGAAAGTTTAGAAGAATCCTGATTATTTATTATTCTTCCCATCTTCTACCTTGTTAAATACCATCAAATACAACTGGAATTCTTCCCAGGTACTAGGCTGATAGCTCAAAATTGGTGTAACACACATTTAAGGCCAATGAGAGAAAGAATATTCTTCATGACTAACCATCATGACAAAAAATAAAAACAAAATCCCCCCCAAATGCAAGCAACGATCCTCTTTTAATACACTGGGTAACAACCAACTGCTCACAGTTATTTTACATTGAAGGAAAATGTATTCCTACTTTCTTACAGCAAAGCCAAGAAAAAAATGGTTAAATTTTATTACACAAAAAATGTTATCAATCCTTGCAATTAATTGCTTTTTTTCTATTTCAAGTATTAGTAGCTCTCTGCTGAACCTCTCCATTTCTTGATGCACAGCAAAGTTTTAGCCTATCAAATCTTCAACACAACAATAATTCAAAGACAGGAAAACTGAAAGTTAACCATCATTTAAGAGCAATTAAGTAAGTCCATGCCAGAGCCCCAGGGCTTGAAAATCAGCCATCAAAAGCAGAGCATTCAAGCTACTCTAATACAAAGAAAAATTATAAACAGAATTACTATGTCCTTTGTTGAAGAACACTGTATTAAAGATCATCATTCACAACTATGAGAGAAAGCATAAACTGCTCTTGTACTCATCTGGAGCACTGTTTAAACATAAGTGGCTTGTGCTCCGTTTGCTTTACTAGAAACCTTACTAGTTCTGTTAAAAAGACGACAGTCATCTGATTCACAAAGCCATTCAAAGGAGCTGCACACATTCTGCAAAGCACGCACTTTAGAACTTACAAAAGTGTTTTTGAACTGCATCTCCCAGGGTGGATTACGTAAGGACGCTTTGAAAGCAATCAGTATTTACAAGTGTTCTATTTATTCAAGTCCTAATGTACCTAGGTAAAACTTGAATTGCAGCAGTAAATACTTATATTGCCTTCAATTTGTAAAAACGTAATTATGTACCATAAATGGAACAGCTTTCTCAAAGATACAGAGCCACTTTTTTCCCTAAGCCAAAACAGCGCTGGTAAGGCTGCCTTCAATTTGCCAGAAAATGCTGTATCACTACTAAAGAACTGCAACTTGACGTACAACTGAGACAATGATGTCATTATACTGGTAAACTGTATTTACCAGTATAGACTTTCCAGAATTGGAGGTGGGAGGTAGTGATGGGGTGATTTTTTTTGGTGATTTTTTGCAAAACACAAGAGCATTCAAGGACTAGAGACTATGAAGTAACAGAATGAAAGGCATCACTGACACAATAGGAAGTATGTAAAAGATGAACACAGGATATCTCAAAGCAGAACATGACCACAGGATCTACCCAGTGTGATAATTAATGCCAGTGAACAAGTTTAAATATGTAAGTGTTCTTTTGTTACTTTTACATCTACTTGCTTTGAGAATTGTTTCTTCCCCTTCAGTAGTGTGAAAAGCTTACAGAAAGTGAGGCTGACTTCAGACATTAAGTCTGTAAAAAGGATAGCATAAATGTGTAAATTTTAATCTAGTATCACTTACTGCTTAATCTATTTAGGTTAAATAAAATGAGAGTGAACAGTGTTTTCAATTGTTGCTCTATCTTGATGGTTTGCAGAGTTAAGCCCAATTTTCTTAAACTAAAACTATTGAATTTCAGATGTAGAGAGACATTTCACTAGTAGAAAGAAAAAAGTTGTACAGATGGTACTGCTAATACACTTTTCAGTTATTTTTGTGCTCTATGGATGGGTGAAAAAAACCCTCCAACTACTTTTCTTAAGGAGGGACATCAAAGTGAACCCTTTGCTGAAGTGGATGTATATACTGACATAGACAAGAAGCAGACATTTGTATAAAATGTCATTTTCAAGCCTGATGTAAAATAATGTAATTTTTTTCTTTTTCAACAATACAGTTGTATACAAAAATTTGACTGTATAAAATAGCACCTGACCTGCTCCAATGGGCTTGCAATTCTACTAGCAATAAGATCACTATTTTCTGTCAGAAAAGTCACCAGCATATATGTCAAAAGGTGAAGAAAATTAGAACAAAGTCTCAATTCCATTTTTAGAAACACTGTGAGCAACAGCAAGAGGAAATAAATTTTCTTCACACAGCTCCAGGATATCAGACCTTCAGTCAATAGATTTATCTTTAGAAAAATACATGTCCTTCTCTTTAAGCAATAGAGCATGCTTTTTTCTTTTGAATCCCCAAATAATGAATAATCAGGCTTTTGAGTTCTATTACTTATTATAAGAAAATTTTCAGTCCACAAAAGAACCCTGTAAGATGTCTATATACATTCTCCACACAAGGCCAAGCAGGACTGAATTTTACTAGACTGATGGAACTGAAGAGAGACGAGAGGCAGGAGTTGTTTCCTATTTTCTTTGCTCTTTCCATCTTCTCATTAGAAAAGGCTGGTCCCATCCACTCAGTAGTAATTGAGAACAGTGCCTACTGATCTCAACCACCTAGTTTGCACACAGCTGATAAAATTATTCCTTTTTTCATTTTTTTTTTTTTTATTAAGACAACGTTTAGAAGAGTCTGTGGGGCTGCTGGCATCCCTAAAATGTTTATTCCAGAACTGCCTGACACTTCGCCAGGACACACAGGACTTAGATTTGTTAAATATCCATACCTTAAAGATAAATCTGCAAACACCATTTCTGAAAGTAGACCCTCTTTGCACTAAGCCAGGGGATGCTGCCCAATAACTAAATACTGCTTCCATACTGGGAGACAAGCAAAGACACTTTTTCCATGAAATCCTGATACTTGGTTTCCTCTGTTCTTCGTAATGACTCGGTGGAAGTACTTACAAATGTTCACATACTCCTTTCCAAAAAAGGCAAAGTATGGAACACATTCTGCTGAAGAAAGCCAGATCAATTACTTGCTTTATATGTTAGCAGGCTGCTTTCACCCAAACCAATGCTGTTATGCTTCAAGAGGAGATTAAAAGAACATAAACTCCACAGTGAGAACACAGCAAAGCTTAAGCAAACTCTGTATTTCTTGCTTGCATGCCCAGCCACTCTACTTTGGAGAGCTTCTTCAACAAGTACACTGTACATGGCAATTCCTAATGAAAAATCTCAAACTCTCCTAGTATTTAGGTATTTTCAAGGATGTTTTTCTGACAGGACTCTTAGTTCTATGCTCTGCAAAGGACAAAACCAGCATTTACTTTGACTGTTGGAAGATGATTGTGAGATGCTTAATATTTTAAATTGATTACTGTTTTAAACCGGTGGTCTATGCTATAGGAATGTAACTGATATACTTGGCTTTGTCTACCAAAAGCCAAGTTTCCCAGTGATGGCCTTGTTTACCAGAACTTCAGAACTGCAAGGGCAGTATCTGTGTTTTTACTATTGAAACAAAGTTTACTACTTAAACATTTTTTTTACTCAAAGAAAATAAACAATCCTCCTACATAACACTCTACATTGAATTAGAAACCCACAGAAAATGACTTGTCAGTAAATGAGGGTGGGACTGGACCTTTCAACTGAACCCCTCAACAACAGCCTGCATCTTTGGCATACTTGCGCAGAACTGGGTTATTTTAGCCCATCTTTACAGCCATCCAAGATTAATCCCTACCTCTGTGTAGTTTTCACACTTTTTTGAGTAGCATACCAACAGATCAGGAGAGAGAATTCATGCAAACTGTTCAGATACTCAGTGACGAGAGCAGTTAAGAGCAGAAGGCAATTTTGAAGAGGGTAAGAACAGGATGCTCTGCTAAAGAGTTTGCCTGTATTTTCAGTGTTACTGGAATTCCTTTTGCATTTGTACTATAGTAAAGATGATGACCAGCAATATTTAAAAGTATCCCTTGCTGTGAATGGGATCCGTTTCAATTTGAAGGGGGGAGGAGAGAGGGAAAAGTTCTAATGGCATTTCCTAGCACAACCCTTATTTGTCTGGAGCTAAAAGGGATTACTTAGTGGAGCTTATTACCTTTGAAGATAGAGTTGAAGATGAGATGCCAAATTTTTATAAAGCAGACCAAGCTTTGCATATTCTTAATAATGAACTCCAGCAAGAAAAAAGTTTTGCCAAAAATACAAAAGACACTTAAAAGCCATGAGATAAAAGTAACTGTATTTCATCTTAACCAAAATGAAAGTGACAGCAAGGACTTAAAAATCAAGGAGGGCTTTTTTGTTCTGAAAATTTAAGATGGATACTGAACCGCTAAATATAGGGGGGGGAGAGGGAAGGAAAAGTTGCTGATAAACACCACATGGATAGCATGGATAGAATGGCATCTTTCTAGAGAGCTACAAAGAGGCAGGGTTTTTTTAGCCTGCAAAACTGTTGTATTTACTTTCATATGGTCAGTGCCTGCATTCTACTTGGTTAATGAAGTACAGCAACAAGGCTTACAACTTCCATATGCAATCTTAAAACAAAAAATTAAAGTGTAGTGCACAAATAATAAACAGATGTTTTAAGTGTTCAAAGCTATGAGGGATACACATTTCAGAATAAATTGAAGAAGCCACCTGAGGAGAGTGATTATTGGGGGGGGAACCAGTTATTTTTACTACAAAATGTTAAAGAAATAACCACTTTTACTATTTATTCAGAATGAAGAAAAATGAAGAGATTTTAGTTTCCTAATTCAACCTTCGTAGCCATTTAAGTGGCTACTGTACTTATCGCTTGCAGATTAACTAATTTGCCACTGAAAACACAACGTAATCAGCAACTTGGTTATTATTTAACATATAACAAACCCAAGCCTTGGGAAAAATAATCAGGAGAGCTCAAATTTTAAAGACAGAAGAATTAAAACACTTGGTTGGGCGCAACTGGCAGTTTTGGTAGCAGAGTGCTGCAGGAGGGACCTGCATGGCAGGAGGTCATGAGCTGCCTTGTGCTGCTCACAGTCAGTTATGAAGCTGCTGTAAGCAACACACTGTGTATCAAAATATCCCTTAGCTAGTGGAGCCACATCACCTCTGCCCAAAGGTATTCAAGAAAGAGCAGCAGTCACTGGGGGAAGGGTTACAGCCCACAGAGAGGACTGACATTGGAAGGGCAAGGGTACCTGAGCCTGTATGGAAAGGGGAAAGAGACATGTTTGGTTGAAGCTGAGCCTAAAGAAGGCAGGGAAAGAGGCTTTTTTTTTTTAAATGCGTTTGGGGTCTTGTTTTCATTTTCTCAATACCTGAAACAGTGAAGTTTTATATTAATTGGCAAAAACATAAATTCTGTAACTGAGTCAAGATCGTTTGCCTGCAGCACATATTGTAAACTGGTCACTGGGAAGACTGTGACGTGTCATTGCAAAGCATGGATTTTTAAAAAGAAAATACACTTAGCATTTGCTTCACAAAGGTCTATACTACAAAAAAAAAATGGTCTGCACCATTGAAGATTACTAAAATATTAAAATGCAAAACATGAACAGGCTAATATCTATGCATATGCTGTTCAATGAAGATGAAGATGTTATAACCAAACCAGCCAGCAGGCATCATGCCATACTGATCAGGTATTCCTCATCTGTGATGGCTCAAAAGCTGCTTTTGTGCAAATACTTCTGTTTTGTAGTGACCACAGAAATACTCTTTACCGTTTCCAGAATTCACAATAGGATTCCTAAAAACTTACTGTTAAATAAAACAAACAAAGCTCTACTGTATTTTTCTTGCACTTTCTGTTCAAATTCAGACCCTGTGAGGACATGAGGAAGCTATCCATTAAACTACAGTTACTTCTAAATTAGGCTCTGGGTGTACACCATAGCCATCCAGCTCTCTGATGTGCAATACAGAAGTAGTAAACCTTTTTTTTGACAGGAACAGATTTTTATTTTTTTTTGTAAACTGGATATTCTTTATGCAGACAGCACTGAAACCTGAGCATATAATTTATGCAAATCATCCCTATTTCTAGACACCACATAAAAATTCCAGAGTACTCAGTGTTCATTATAGATACACAATTTGAAGTATTTTTATACCAAAATTATACATTTTATACTGTTGGCACAGAATACAGCTAATTTTCTCAGTTAAGAGATGAATAACTAGGGTATCCTTAAAAGTATCTTTTCCAATGGGCAAAAACAAGGCAATGCAAGTCAGTGATAGCCTAGGACATATTAATCTGCTAGACTCTTTAGATTAATTTAAATGTTCTTCTATTTAAAATAAAACAGGAACCCCACAGTTTTTATCCTCACTAGCTCCGGTAAACGTAAGTGCTATAGCTGAAGAACCATCTCCATTTAGAAGTTTAGCTTTATCTCCTGGATCTGGTATTTGCCTACACAGTTTTGACTTTACACTTCCTCATACAAACATGCAGTTATATACGAATTTGTGTCCCAAAATTAACTTACAGGTTATAAATAAATTCCCACTCTTGCACCAATCAGATTAAATACCATAAGCAGATCAAGATGAAACTCCCTCTCTTCTCCTCCTCAGTCTGCACCCCCTGCTTTTTGACTAATCAGTTCTTTCTGGTAAAATTTGAAAGTTATCCAGTTTTCCCTCTGGAGTATTCTTCAGCATCCCTACCAAAACCACGTGCTGTAAGAATCAGCTAGTCAAAGCACGATTTGCCTTTTTACACACACAACACTGGAATTCAAAAAGTACTCATGCTGACTTTGTGGGATTTGCGCTACTATGGTATTAAGTTTTTCATGATCTTGTAACCAACATCACATCTTTGCTCTCTCTCTGAGGGACCAAATTCAAGGGTAATTAAACAACCTTTCACCCTTTACAGATGTAGGATAGCTGTCTCACATCTACCATTTCCGAGGCTGGGGTCTTGTAAGCGCCAAGTCCCTTTAATGGCCTCTTGATACTGGAAGTAGGAGTACTTCTGCTCCTTCACTACCAGCCACAAGAGTTCATTCCCATCTGTTATTCACACTTGGGTGCTTGTCAGACCTTCCATGACCCAAGTTTAACTTACTACACCAGCAGTAACTGGACAGGCAGTTTTTCTTCTGCGTTAGTTTTCTGCCAGGTTATTTAGTTGCATCAGCTCACGGAAGCGTCTGATGAGCCCCACAAACACAGAGGAGAGCTGCTACACTGATTCACTGCCTCATCAAACTGCAGCCCCACTAAGTATTTGGAGGCCACCTGATCCTAACTGCTGAAGAAGCAGCTGTTGTACCTGCTAAACAGAAGAATATCCAATCAAGGCTCTCCAGAAAGTTTGTAACATGAATATATCTTAGTATTTTTTCCTTATTTTTATAGTACAAAATCCATGTAAAGCATATACAGTAAAGCTTTTTATTTAAGGGAGATGGTACAGAATGAAAGCAAAATACAGTATTTCAAAAACTACAGCTTTTCTCCAGTCCTGCTTACCTACTGAGCAAATTCTGCATTAAATTAAAGGTGGTGCTGGTGGGGGGGAGCAGCTGCTCCAAGTTCAAGCTGCGCACTCTGTACATTTAAAAGGATAGTCATACCACAGTAACACCTTCTAGTTTGTCACGTTTTTAAAACCACTAATACAGTAAAACTGAATAGGTAACAAAACGTCAGATGCAATGACATTTACTTAAAATAATTCCTCAAGAACTGCCATAATATTTGTAGTCAATTGCTTATGTCTCAGGAATATTCAAGTCAGCTGCCTCAAAAACTAAATCCAACCAACCCCCCCGTCTTTATTTTAAAGGAGGAGTGCAGAACTTCAATTACTTACCAATCAAGATTTGACCTGTTTTCATTGCTGAACTACCTGGCACCAATCCATGTACTACAAGTCTCTCTTCACCAGTTCCTCTGGTGACTTTATCCTTCTTGCCGTGTTTTTCTGTTCTTCTGCTGCTCCACGAAGACTGATGGACAATCCCTACTAAGACCTCCAAAAGCCTGTGCTGCTCATCTTCTCCAGCACTCTGGAGTTTTCTGGGATTTACATAAACATACACATCTTTGTACTTTTGCTGAACAGTGACACCCATTTTCTGATCGGATTGGTGTTTCAAGATGGAAGTAAGACCCGTGGAATGCACACTGCAGCTTCCACTGCCTTTCTTACCAGAATGCTTTGGTAAAAGATTCTTCTTTTTCAACATTTTGGTCAATTTCTTCAGTTCATACTTTCTTTCTTTTCGTGATCCCTCTTGAATAACTTCAGCTTCATTTTCACGAAACCTGACATGATTCACTGCCGGCATTTCTGGACAGCTGTTCTGAAGCAGAGTTTCTTCTTCACTTTCACTCAATTCTAAATAAAATAATTCCCCATTTTTCTGCACACCATCCAACCATTCAGGCTCAAGGTCACTGGGAAAGAAAGGAGAATGATCAGTGAAACCTCTGATAAGCAAGACTGCAATGCAGAATACAGAGAGTGTATAAAAAAAATATAAAGGGGTAAAAAGTTGCATCCTGAATACTGAAAGCTTAAATGCTTTAAGTTTGCCATCAGGGCAAGAGTTCTTCTTGGACAAATGATGGATACAGCAAGGAAAATCATCCCTCCCAGATATTAAAATAGTTTCTTCAAATGTCTTAAAGGAAAACAGCCATTGCAGAAAGCAATATTCCCCTTTCTGAAAAAAAAAAAAACAACCAAAAAAACCAACAGACAAAAACCCAGCCCCCCCAAACCATTTCTTTCACATACAAGTTTTAATTACTAATTACATTCACGGGCATGATGGGGCTTTCTCTTTGAGAAAAAAAAATGTCATCTTGGTTGTTCTCTCCCATTATTTTTTCCCTTACTCATTTGTAAGACAGATTGTACTGCAAACCCTTCAGACAGACAAGATTAACATTTCAAAAATCACCTCATTATACCAAAAACAAGCAAACAGACCCAAGACAAGATCTAGGCTACACTTTCTAAAAGGCAAGTTCAAACCAGCATATTCAAGCTTAGATGCAAAAATGCACAACAAAAAATTAAAGAGGCAGCGCTGCTACAGAAAAAGCTTTAGCAGCTGGAATGGATCACGAAGTCACTTGTAACGAGCTGCTGCAATGAAAAGGCAACTACAGGATGTCTTAACAGGAGTACGATCTGCACAGCACAACAAATTTTTTGTCCTAATTTGGCAATGGCAGCGTGTCAACCATGTCCAGTTTTGGATAGTGCATTTTAAGAAAGATGTAGTAACTGGAACAAGCCCAGAGCACAGAAACAAATAGCAAGTAGTTTATAAACATGTTTTAAAGGGAAGGAGACTGAAGAAAATCATAGTCCTTTGGCTGAGAAAAAAAACCCAAACAAGAAAGGATAGCTGAGAGACAACAGGCCAAATGGTCCACTTCCCCATCCCAAGATGAACCACAGAGAACATTACTTAGAGAAGGGTGAGGATCAGTAATGGTCAAAGCAGGACTATTTAGTGCTTTAATTTACTGAAGTATTTAAGCTAAATATTATGAAAGCTTTTTGATCACACACACAAAAGAAAATAAATAAATAAATAAATAAATATTAATTAAAAAAAAAAAATCAGTGTTAGGAGGCAATGTAAGGAACATCTGGGGTGTTCCTTATATCCCAGAAGGATTTTCACGCACACCCAAGGCCAATTCACTCTTCCTGACTGATGACCAGATGACAAATAGGTCTTCCTTTCAACCAATCTAAGACCACACTGAGAAAAATCAAATGAGGGAAAACTGGAATGAAGACTTACATCATAACTATTATCATTAATAGTGTAAAATTAATAGACATACTTTATACTAGAACAAGCTAATTCTACTAAATAAAGGATGTAAGTTTTGTTTAAAACTGGTATGTTACTAAAATAGAGCATGAATTTGAATACACAGATAAATGATACAGCTTCAGAGTCTAGCTGAACAGACAATATTATACAAAGACACTGCACCATAGCACCTTTAAGGGTTCAAAAAGAGGATCTGGCTGGATTAAGAATCTAGAAAACATTGGCATTATGCTCTTCCTGGAACTCCAGTGACTTGGAGAAGTCTAGGGATGCTACAAACAGGAACAGACATCATGTACTTCCTCTGCATTTATTAATTACTTTGCCCAAGTTGATAGTTTTAGAAGAAGAGCTACCACTTGTGGTAATTTGATGGTCACGGGTAAGTCAGAGTTTTCTCTTACTCAATGTCTTCAGTGTCTTACTCAAGAAAGTATCAATTATAACAACACCTAAAGGCTGGTCTAGATTCACAACTGATTTAAACAAAGTTTAAAAAAAAAGATATTTTTTTTTCCAAATCTCTATTTCCATCTCTCTTCCCTTGTGCAAAGACAGGCACCTATATAATAACCTGAGCTTCTGCATATATCGGTTGAAGGATATAAAAACCTGGAAAATCCACATTCCTCTAAGAGCAGTTTCACTGCTCCTACACTGACATTCCTTTGTGATAACTGTCTGAGAAACTGTGCCAACTGAAATCATCCACATATGTAAGAAATATATAGTAGAAACAAAGAATCTAACTTATGATTCTTAAACAATAGAAGACTGTTCTCACCCAAGGAAATTAAAAAGCAATAAAAGATTAACCTCTATTAGCCTTGTTTTACAGCAAGCAACAACAAATGTATGATAACTGTATGATTAAATTTAACCCATATGATATTTTGCAGAAGATCATCATCTTTAGCTTTCCCAACCTCTGCCTATGCAATGACAAAGTATAGCTGCAGACTGCAGCATCTATTTGGTATATGCAAAGCTGCCATCCTCTAAATAGCTAAGGCTGCCTAGAGGGGTTCTGACCCATCACTGTTAGTGAAAGAGAATGTTAAACTCTGAACAAAGACAGAACAGAAGCCTGCTATTTTCACAAAGGCGTTCATTTCACAGCTGTCTGAAAATAGGCCTTGCACAAAATCACAGAACTGACATATCTCTGTTTTTGCCCTGGCATGAATGTTCTGTGGCGTATCCTGGTTTGTCCACATTTGCTGTGGTCTGAAGCAGCACAATTTCAACTGCTAGAAGTTTATTCTGGAAGTCAGTAATTTTTACTTCAGAAAATTCTTCCTAAGGTGTTGCTATCTTCAATTTAATCAAATATGGCTGGCTACAAAATGACATACAGATCATCTATAGAGCCATTATCTTGAAACAACTAACAGTCCTATCTTTGTGCCTGTTACTTCACAACATTGCACTCTTTCTCCTTCCCTTTTCATGACAAATCACCTTAACCTCTTGCTCCTGTACATAGATGGCTGGAGTCTTATAGGTCCAACAGAAGAAATGGGACCTAAAAATAAAGCTTCACAGTTCTGTTGGTGCAGAGATAAAAAAAGATGCATTTCCATTTATCCAACGGTATTACACGTCATGTTCCATGTTGAAAACTATGGAAGACAGCTTTATCCCCTGAACACACTTTAAAAACACCATGAAATAGGCATTTTTGATGAAAGAAAAAAAACCCTAACACACAAAAGGAAAAAAAAAGGAGGGCGGGGGGGAGAAGAAAGGCAAATAAATAAGTAAATAAGGCATGGCTTCAGGCAGAAATGTAACAGTTGAGTTCTGACTTATAAACACAGGAACAAAATATGGTGGGTGTACATCCAACAGCTTTGTCTGTCTGAGCTACAGTATGGGACCACTACAACACACAATATATACTTAAACACACTTCACAACTCTCCCATTTAAATCTTCTTTTTCACTGCATCACACAATGAAAGTAACATGCCAAATAAAATGCCACTGAATAGACTTTGAAACGCACATTTGAGCTGTCAAGCAAAGTTCTTAAAATGCAAGGAACAGAGAGTAAGTTTTATATGAAATTAAAAACCAAACAAACCCCCCAGTGATTGCATAAATTACTTTAAATACGGATTAGTATTACAGAGTTCTCACTATCATTTCCCAAAAGGCAGCCCATTTAAAATAGTAGCCCCTCAAATACTAACACATTTATAATACAGGAGCTAAGGTCCCCTTTCCCTTGCCCCTTCCAGGCAGCGCCCACCTGGGTGGCAGTAAGCAGCCCATGAGATACGGCTTGCCCCGTTACTGTCAGGGCTGCACCACAGAGACAGGGTCTCGAAAAGCAAACTGTATTCTCCATTAGTATAAACGACACAGCCAACAAAAAGTGACTGGGTCCACTCAGCCACAGCCCACCGGCCCTCTTTCCCGCGTGGGGAAAGCCCCAACCCGCTGCCTCCCTCCCTCCCCCAGCCCCGCCCCAGTGGCTCCGCAGCTCGCCCTCCGCTGCCCCGCCCTTACTCGGAGCTGGCGGACAGCGAGGTGGCGCAGGAGCCGTTCTCACTGCTGCTGCCGCTGCCCGGAGGCTCAACGCCTTCTCCCCTCGACGGCTCCATCCTCTCAGCAGCTCCACTCCCGCTCTTCCCTCCCGGACGCCATACACCCGCACCCCAGCGAACCGAAAGGTCACGTGACCTGTGGCGTGCCTTTCCCATTGGCGGCCGCGGCCCGGCTCTATGGAGACGGAGTGGGAAGCCTGGAGCCACGGCCCGTTAACGGTGGCAGTGGCGCCACTGAGACCCTGCCTCGGAGCACTGGGCTCCGCTGAGCACTGATTACCGCTGCCCGCCTCGGAGGAGGTTTTAGTGCAGCATCACCTGCCTCCTTTAGCTGGCAGTGATCACAAACACTTGGCAGTACCCAACCACCTCGTTTACTTCTTCGTAACAAACAGCTGCCCCTTGAAAATCCTCCAGTGGGCCAATATGAAACATGTAATGGAGCACAGACTATTTAATTGTGTGATACCAAGGTCCGAGTAACAGGCCCATAAAAGAGGCTGGTAATGAAATTCACGGTCTTCAATGCCTCAAAACATTACCTATAAGAAAAAAAAAAAAAGATTTGGAGAATTTTCATCAAGTCTACTGGTTAGCCGTGCACTACTGTGCTTTATGCTCTTTTTAAGGACTGGTGAGGCACTACGGTAACTTCTCTTTGAGGTAGCCAGGAGAGCTGTTAGGTCAGGGAGGAGAGGCAAGGATGTAAGACGAACCCAAACAAGCTACATGATCTGGCACCTTAAAGCACTCGATGCAGCCTACGAATAAGAAATCATGCACAGTCAAGAGAGAGGAAAAAACCCCTCTGTTTTCAGGACTTAAATTACGTCCCTGAAAAACAAGCCCATGGCAACTCTGCAGACAACTTGCTGCATAACTGTGTCAGTAAACCCATCAGGACACACATGGTGAACGAGGAAGGGGATGGGGAGTAATTGTTGGAACATTTTTAATGTGTTCGGTTTAATCTCTGCTCAGTGGGATATTTGAACAGCTTCGGCAGAGAGGCTTTATAGTGCTGCAGCACTATGTAGGAGGCATAGAAATCTGGTATGAAATTTCTGTGCTTAAAACTGTTTTAGGGAAGTGTTCATTAATAAGTGTGATTTCAAGTGAATTAACAGACAGAAAGGTTTTTACTCATTCCCATGTGCTTAAGGCTTCAATTGGAGTCACCTGTATTAAATTTTGTGGCCATTCTGAAGTGCCTGTAAAAGATCTGATTTTACAGATAAATCACTGTTGTGTGGATTTTAAGACTAAAATCATATCTAAAGGAGGAGACAGAAACATTGCCTAACTAAAGAAAAAAAGTGTTTGTTCTAATATGGTTTCACTCAGTTTAGGACAGGATATGGTAGATAATTTTTTTTCCTATCTTAGCTGGCAGCCACCATTTCACACAGATTATATAATCCATGAATGATAGACAATTCTTTAAAAAAGGAGAGCTCTCTGGTTGTTTCCAAGTGTCAGAACACAAGATACGCACCAGCTTTTGTTCTTTCTATTGATTCCAGAAGAACAGGTGGAAAAAATATTTCAAAAGTACCCCCACTTCCCAGATAATTTACCTTGTGAAAACAAAACAGTCTGCATGGACAGCATTTCCCAAAGAGCCTGACATCTTATGATCTTCTAAGAGGAATACCACAGGAGTTAGAATTTTAATAGAGGTAGGTGAGATACAGTCCCACCTTCCCTAATTCTGCTTCTATTTGCAAGCGTTTTTGATATACTGAACAGCACACTAAAGTGGTTCTGTAGAGAAGTGACAGCCCGTGCCAGATAGTGCTGTGTTAGTTATGTTAAATTTCACTGAGTTCAGGAGCTGGCTAATTGCTTCCAGTTGTTTGCTTTGTGAGTGAGAAAAACAGGCTCTCTAAAAAGGAGGCAGCAGTATTACACTACTTGCTATTTTCTAGGGATAACTGTATCATGAAGGAAAGGACAATGGAAGATCCTGGTCCACTGGGAGGTAGTTGGGAGTCACCTAAATGTTCTTCTGAAATAAACGTGGAATTTTTGCTGCTGTGGGAACAATTAAAGATTCCAAGACATATCTCACACAGCAGGATTTTATTTTAGTGAAGACACAGATTTTCCCACACAACCCCTCCTGAGAGGAAAGCCCCTCATTTATTGTGCATAAATATTAGGAAAAGGCTTGAAATAATTTGTCTTCTGGCAGATTCTTTACACTTAGTCCAATAGTTGGGCTGATGCTTCTCACTAAGGAACCCTCTATGCGAGGTTGCTGTTACAACAAGCAGATGGTACAAATTTGCCAGAAGGCATTATTGGCATCAATACTGCTACTCACCTTTACTGGACAACTGGTTAATAAGCATTTAAAAGTGGATAATTAAAACACTCTCTTTTGCCTTAAGGTTGTTCTGATTAGCTGTTCCTGCAAGGAACTAAATCCATGTGTGGGAATTCATTTCAGAACAAGAGTTCCTTTTTACTTTTTGGCTTAACATGCTTCAAAAATCTACTGCATTTTAAAAATAACACTCTGCTTTGATCCACATTGATATTCAGGAAGAGATCATAGTTAAAAGATGACAGTGTAGGACATACCAGAAAGATACACAGGTCCTTTCTAATAAAGGAGGAAAGTAACTAAAGCATAACTCTACTTTTTAGCACTGTTGCATGGATACTTGTGAATCTCTACTCCAACCACTGTCCAATTTAAACTACTAGCATTTTTCATATTGTTATATACTGACAGCTGATTTTTTCAATCTGGTGATGAAGAAACGAGGCTGGAGTTACAGTCTTTCCTAGCAGCTTGATGGAAGAGCACAGGGAAATTTAGGATTAGTGTTTACGACTAACTTGTCATGTTTGTATAATCAGGCATGATCTTAGCAATCTTACTGGGACCCATGATTCACTGGTGATATGCCAGACTGATTTCACTGATTCACACTCAGCAGGCGTGGATGTAGCTGAGCTCTTCCCAACATGGCTGAAAACAGGGGTAGCATTATGCCTCTGGTACACTGAGGCAAACTAACACTCCCTCTGCTGTAAGTGAACGCTACCTGATAATTAGAAGTGCCTGGTTTATGCCTGTGAGATGCCAATGCACTATCCAGGAATTATATCAGATCTCTCATTTTTCATCAATCTCCCCTTCTTCATCAGGGTCATTCCCCCTGCTTAATGCCAGCATGGGTGAAGGTTAGTGGCGCCTCTGCGCTATATGAACAGTGCCACAAACAGGGAGAGTTCAACAACTGGATCTTCCAGCTTTCTAGATCTTTTGTACCGTGCAGGCGCTGTAAACAGGCCATGGTACTACTGCAAGACAAATCTCACCGGATAAAACTGGACTGTAGTTGAATCTAATTTCTACTGGCTGGGTCTAAGCACCCCTTTGCTTTCTCCCTCTCCTTCCACACTTCAAATTACAGCTCTTCATTACTGATACAGAAATAAAAATTGACTTCTTATTGTTTCATTGTTTTCCAAGCAGATAGTATTTTCTGAAAGGCTCTGTCAACAACTGGACAGACAGAACATGAGATGTTACAGATTTCACATGATACATCACAAGCAGATAAAACTAAGAGGAAAGTATTTTCATGTCTGTGTAACAGGTCTGTTCCTTGCTGCTAACACCTGATTTACTCAAACAACTGGAGAAAAACTAACAAAAAATTTGGATTGCTAAAGAGTGATGTTACAGATTTTCAGCCATTGATTCCTATTGATTTTTTTATTCCTCCAGTGCACAACATCAGAAAAATGAGACAGAAAGATTAATGACAGCCATACATCTTTCCCTTACTCCATCAAAGTTGGTTTTTTTTAAGAGACAAAAGGCACATTTCACAGGCATGCCCTGCCCATGGCAGGGGGGTTGGAACTTGATGATCTTAAGGTCCTTTCCAACCCTAACTATTCTATGATTCTAAGATTCTATAAATAAGACTTTGTGATTACAAGGTTTACATAAAACTACATGAATTAAGATTGAGATTAAAAAAAAAATCTTCTGCTCACAGCTTTTCTGACATTACTGCATAGAGACATGCAATATTGCAAAGTGGTATGATTGAACAGTGATGCTGGACTGTCATTTTAATAGGGTTATTTACATATAAACAGACTAAATGGAGAATAAAGGCTACCTTCAGACCAAAGGAACAGAAGTCATGTGAGAAAACACTCCAGTGCTCATTAAGTAAAATATACAGTTCTGACTTTCCAAGCTTTCTGTATCAACTTCCCTCTATGCAATTGCATGACAGAAAGTATTTTACAAGAAGAACACAGAACCAGCAGAAGACAGTCAGGAAGCATTCTGGAAGATGAGCTCAACCCATCCCATTCTTTTGAAAAACAGCCTTACAGCGCTGAGTTCCCTCTAACATGAAAAGCAGCTGTTATTTCAAGTAAGATTTTTTTTTTCCCCTACTGTTTTTACTTCATTGTAAATCTACAGGGCTTTTTTAGGATCACCTGCTCTGCATAGCAGGCATGTCAAGCGCGAAAGAGAACCATTATTTGCAGTCAGTCAACATGCAAGTGTTTCGAGTATGAATAGAACCATACTACACTGAGAATATACTAATATAAGCAGTACCGTGGGTCAGCATATTTTTAATCCTCCTTTGAAATGGAACATTCTCAGTTAAGTCACTGACAAATATATTGCATAGGGCTTCAGAGGGTCTCCTGTTAGCAACTGAGCACATTTACTGCTTATAAAGCAGGTTCAGAACGGAATGCAGGAACAGGCCGATTCCGGTGTGCCCACCTTGCTGTACTCAGCATTTTCATCCACAATGTTCACAGGAATGGATTTTAAGCGACTATTCAGTCTGATGCTTTGAGCTGGAGAGAAGCTGAGTTAATAATTGCTAGTTTCTATAGCAAGAGCTGTTTGGAGTTAGCACTAAAAGAAAGCATACTTCTTTGGGTGAGAAATAAATCAGTGCAGCCGAGAAAACGCATTAGGAAATGAACACAGAACAACTGGAGATGTACTTCTCTTGGACGCTGTTGAATGGGATGGGGTTTTCCTTGACAAGTTTAAGTGGTTCTCGCCTAGCACTAAGAAAATGGCACTGAGGGTGCCTTTGAAAGCCCTCCATTTGCCTGTGGGCACGGTCTTATAGCTGAGATGTCTTTGTGAGGGGACACCGTGGAGAACTGCACGTTAGGGATAGTGAAGCATGGCAGGAAGAAGCTGCTTCTCATGCAGCCTGCCTCCTGCGTATCTGCTGAAGGAGTGCCCATCGTAAATTTGCGTGCACTTCAGATTTCTTTTCTTTTCTCTCCTCCTAAAGAGGAATTCTAAGGCATTACGGAATTGACGCTGCCGAGTTTCCTTCTGTCAGCCCGTTTGCTTGAGCGCTTTAGAGCTCCAGTAGTAGTCCTGCCTTGGGGCTGCAGGGCACCTTTCGGGGGCATGAGGGGCGCTCCCCTTACCTGCATGCGGGTCCCCGCTGCTCAGTGAGCGACGGAGGGAAACCCGCTGGCGAGTAGGTGCCCGGCTGGCAGCTCCCCTTCCCGTCCCATGAGCATCGCGGCGGCTCCGGGTCTCGTTGTCCGCCACCCCCCGCCCGCGCCTCACCGGCGCCCGGGGAAGGTGAGAGGCGGCTGGAGCCGGCTCCGCTCGCTTCCCGCCTCCACAACAGAAGGCACCCGCGGGGAGCCCCGCGGACCTCGCTGCCGGCCCCCTGGGAGGCAAACCGCGTTACCCCCAGCAGTGACGCCTGCGGAGCAGAAGCCACCTCCCCGTCCTCGCCACTGACCTGTGTAGCAGGACGCTCTGCACCGAGTCCAGGTCTTCCAGGTTCCTAGTGACGGGCCGCGGGATGCTGTACCTGCCCGCCCCGAACATCGCCTACCCCGCGGTCCGGGACCGCGGGCAGCCGCAGGCAGGTGCGAGCCCTTCAACCCGCCCGCCTCCGCCGCGCCTCCCGCGGAGTCCGAGAACCCACCGGCGCCACGCCGCGGGGCTCGTGGGAAGCGCGTCCCACGCCGCTGGGGGCCGGGCGTGCGGTGGGAGGATGGTGGGATCGGTCCCGAAGAGGTCGGGGTCTGCTGCGCCAGCCCCGCCGCGGGGGCTGATCCAGGCTTCTTACCAGCCGCCGAAGGGGGCTGCCTTACACTTGCGCGGTATTGCTTCTCAGGAACTAGCAAACCCTCAAAACACAAGTTTCATATAAACGCAGTGAACTCATTCCTAACTGCGGCCGTAGTTTGCTTTCCCAGAGCTCCATCCTCAGCTCCCATTACGTGAGAAAACAGTTTTCCCCACGTACTGTCCTGTTGACTAAAATAATGGATTTGCCCAGTTGATTCTATTTCCTTAAGTATTAATATGAAAAATTACCCTCCCATAAAATATCACCCAGTATTTGTTTTCCTTTTTCACAATATAGTAATTAACAAGTGCTTTCAGATCATTACTGAGTTGCAGAACTCCCTACTGGTTTCCCATCTGTAAAATTCTGACACAATACGTTGAATGATCAGGGATGTGAATGCATAAAAGTGGTGTGACCCATATCTTAATGTTTACTTCTTACCCACGGATTGCCATCCCATTATTTATTTTCTCTGCTCCCTTTTACAAAGGAATCTATTTTCTCTAATGTTCAGAATTTTTCAAGATGTGGTTATCAATCTCCTCCATATTATATGTAACTTAAGATCAATAGTTAATGATGTATTGCAATCAGTTATTAAAAGCATCAGGTTTAGTTTCAAGTCATCGTGTCTGAGAATTCTAGCAACACAGCAATGAAGTTGTTTACCGGAAAGACCCTTAAGGGGAGGACCATTAGCATAATACAGAACGGACAACAAATTGAAAGTCATTGAATATTTTAGCACCCAACTCCATGTGATGTTGGCCATTACATGGAATAAAAGCTTCAGCTTTCTTGAAGACTTTGACTTGAGTAGATAGTGGCAACAGCTCAGTTTGGAAGGGGTGAATGCAGAATCACCACAAGTCTGTGGCTGGGATTCTCACTAAGTAGTGTGTCTCTAATATTTAGATGTGTTGACATTTTTCCTTTGGCAAATTTTGCTTGCTTGCTTTCTATGGTGCAGCTAAAAAATTCTGAGCAAAGGACAGTCTCCTCTAAACTCTACTCCTATCAAAGACATGGGAGCCACCGCCGGCCACTGAGGTGAGTAACATCAGCAGTACTATCAAGGATTATGACCATAAAACCTTTGTGAAGATCTGTAGTGCCAGGGCTATGGTGCCAGGGAAACTTAAGGTGTGCCAAGGAAACTGAAGGTATACCAGGATTTTTTGTCTTAGGAGCAATGGAGAGTAGCTGGAGGGGTTTGAGGTTTACAGTATCAAAATAAGCATAATGCTTCCGCAGTGGGCACTGAGTGAAGAACTTCAAGCCAGAGCTTTTAGTGCTGTGTGTATTTTCCTTATGCAAATGAGAGGCAAAAGTCCCTGCACATGCATACTGAAGCTATAAATTTTAGGCTAGAATTTCATGCAGATCTGGTGCTTTAGCAGTTTATCTGGACGGCTTTGACTTGCATCAGTCCTGTACAATGTGGTTTTCAGAACAGCATTATGTAACAGCAGCAGGGCAAAACGATGTAGAGGTTCACTTTGCTATATTTTTTTTTCAATCTTAGTACTAATTTTATACCCTGAGGGAGCAGAGATGTGTAATTTTATACACAACAGGGGTGTGTTTTCCCAACTTGCTTAGGACAACACAAAACCCATTTCTAGGGTTGGCATTTGATGGTAGAAAGCAACAAAACCCTCAAACATTACCATCAAAATCACAGTGCATTGCCAGAAGGCTTTTCCAAGATGCTTGTCAGCTTTTCTTTGTCCCTGGGTTCTTTCTCAGGGGAGGTTTTTTAGTGTTCCTTGCAACTACTGATCTAATGCTGAGCTTAATGATATCTGGTACTAATACTATACTCTTATATGGGCTTCAAATCGGTTGTGAAGATCTTTATTAGAATTATTTACAGCTCAGCAAAACTAGAACATGTAAACATACATAAAGAGAGCCTCAAAATGTGCCAAATGAAAAAAGGTGATTTAGGTGTTGTGCAGCTTTTGAAATAGCAGATCCAACACCACCATGCTACTTTTAATATTGAACAGAATGTTTTCCTAGGTATGAATTGCAACTTCTAGCATGTTTAGTATGCCTAGGCTCAGTATTTGTGGATGACAACTGGGAAATGAAAAAGAACCAGGAAATCAGAAGTGATACTTTCAGAGCCATATATTTTTTCCTGAATGTATTTGTTACCTTAGCCACACAGAAGAGTGTTGAGAGTTGAGCTATCATTCATCTTCTAACTCAAGTTCTGCAAATCCCCCAGCCCTTGACATTTACAAAAATTATTTTAGTTAAGTCTTACAGATTGAAGTATCACTAAAACACAAGGTGCCATTTCGTCGTATTTTCTGCAGGGTTTTAGTGTGGGTGCAGTAGGCCATAGCAAAAGGAATGTCACCATTCTATTTGAAGTCTGTCAGCTCTTGTATTTAACTTTGACTACATACAGACAGCATGGCATTAGGGCATATTTTCTGAATTCAATGAAATATGTGCAACTGGAGAAAGACTAAAAAGTTCTACAGTACAGAGAAAGAAAACCTTTAGTGACTGGGGAAGAAGGAAATGTAACCAGGTTGAAACCAGGTCAATGACAAAAAACCCCCACAAACGAAAATCAGGCACCCTGCATACCAAATAACTGTAGTATGCCTGGGCTCCCCTTCTGTTTGTGGTGCTTTTCCTGCCAGTTGAACTGCCTTGTGAAAGTCCTCTGCTTTGCTGAAGAACAATTTCTAATGTAAAAGCAAGAGAAAAACCCAAAACAAAGTATTGTGAGGCCGTGTTTATGACAGAGATATCTTTCTGAGATCGTAATGTGTTTTTTTTTTTTCTTAAAGAAGCAGTTGTTAAACTCTGAATTATGAAACTTATCTCCTATGCTGACAGGGTGAGAAGTTTTTGAATCATAATCCCCTTCTGGAAAAGGCTAAAAGAGGTAGTAAAGCTACTTTTGCTATACTAGAAGACCTTTGACTTCCTTGATTTTGCTAGTAAGTTTTAGCATGCCTAGGAATCAAAGACTAACCCACTTTCACTGGCTGAACAGCATGGAAATTAGGTTATCGTTATTTCACTTTTATGATTTGTCATATCATTAGCCATGAGATGGTCCTTCCACTGAATTTTGGAAGGGGAAATATTAGATAATTATTTATCAGTCCCCTCCTCTTGAGGCAACACATACTTCCTAGTCCAATCCCCTGGCAGTAGCTAACTGGGGGCTGTTGTTTGCCAGGTATGGGTTAAGTATGAGGCTTGAATGAAAGTGAATTGACTGTGATTCCAACAGAACAAGACCAAATGCATGAGAAGATTGTAAGAATTTAATGGAAATTAGGAGTGCTGAGCAGGGAGGCTTTGTTTTATAAAACAAAGGGAGGTATTTGTTTTATAGATCATTCTTGCCTGCGACATTTTTTGTCCTGGTGATAAATTTGAAGAAAAAGTTGTTTTCTTGTTGGTGGTTTTTTTCTTTTTTTCCCTGATTGTAAAGGAAACCACACTTTAATGTACTCAGTGTCCGAACTAAGGCCTATGGCAAATTGTTGTTTGAGTGCAAGGTTTCTTTCCTGGCTATTCTATCTTTCCTCACCCTTTTGCTTCTGAAACTGCCCCTATTTGAGAGGCAGCAGAACAGCCACTGAGAATGCATCTTACCAGCTGCAATTAATGCTCCAGCATATTAACTTAAACCCCTGTCTACTTCCATTTATTTTGTTATGCCAAGCCATGAACTCTGGCAGCTGAGTGTCAAGTTCAAATATCTGTTGCATTAAGCTACAGTAACTGAAGAGATCCAGGAATGATGAACCACATTTTTTACTAATCTGAAAATACAGAGATTTGACATCCTAATGATTTTTATTTTATTTTATTTTTTTAAATCTAACAGGGCCATGTGTAGTTTACCTTTTACTTTTAAATAGGATATTGTTTATCTTTGGAAGTAGTAGGTAAGCAGGGGCTCCACAGTATCACAAGGGATGAAAACCCATAAAAGAAACTGCTCAATTAGCACTGGATTGGTCTGTGTTGTGTTAAATTGCCTTCTCTGGTAAGTGGGTTCAGTAACAAATCTGCTTCCACTGTCTTAAAACTGAAGAATAACAGCAAAGATTAGTCAAAAGCAGTGATTTGCATTAGTGAATATAGTTCTTCAGAATCATGACCTATAAAGAACAAATATGTGTAAATTCTGCCATTCTGTGTAGAAACATTCTTCAAGCCTATAATGGTTTATTTTTAGTATTACTTGATCTTCTCCTGATTAATAATGGAGAGTGATGGTAATTTTGTGCACTGAATATTTGTTCTCAGATAACAGGGTAGGCTCTCACTCACCAGAAGATGCATAATAAGGCTGCTGCTGTTGCTTGTCTGTTGCTGTGTGCAAATGCTTGAGGGATGGAGTTGGTAGGGTATTGTTGCCATGATGTTTCTAGGTTCTGCCTCTTTTCTACAACCAGCTATCAGGGTTCCAGGAGGTAGAGGCAATATTATACTTTTCAGTTTTGACAGGGTCAAATATGGACATCCAGCTCTGGATTTGCTTTTCATTCTAATTGAGGCTAGATGCATACTAAAAAAAAAAACTCAACAACAAAACAGTGAAAAAAATCCAAACCCCCAAGCTCACCAAACACAGAGATTTTTCTGTTACTGCATCAGTAACTCTTTTCTGCCTCTATCTGGGTTCCCCAAGCTGTTGTCCTGTTAGCTCCTTTGTATTGTACCAGCTCTGCACTACAGAGAGCAAGATGTTCAGCACAGCCATGCTGGGTTTAGTGATCTGTCCTTCTTTAGTGCAGGGGCACTAAACACTGTGCACAGTTGTCAAGTCTGCCTTCAGCTCAGCCTTCTAGCAGCAAGAGAGAAGATCAGTTTATCTGTCAAACAAATTTGCTGTA